CTGTGGCTAGATGCTCACCTGCTGTGGCTAGACGATTACCTGCTGTGGCTAAGACGTTCACCTGTTGCGGCTAAGACGTTCACCTGCTGTGGCTAAGACGTTCACCTGTTGCGGCTAAGACGCTCACCTGCGGTGGCTTAGACACTCACCTGCTGACTCAAGGGTCTTAGGTTCAAATCCGCACCGCGCGGATTTTAAAGATAAAACAAATGTGACCTTTGATTCCGGGTCGACCCCTCCCCCCCTAAAATTATGGTATTAGGTTTGAACAACGGATCAACATCATTGCACACGAGTAGTAACCCATAAGTGCTCCGTTCTTCTTCTAACTCAAGTGTGAGTCCGAAGGAAGCAGAATGCGTAGGCTCTGTAGCACCGGCGAGGATCCTGAAATACTTTGGGTAGATTTTTAACTCCAAAGTTTGCCTGGGCAGCGTCGTTAGGCTATTCTTTTCGAGTTCTAACTGCCAAGGGATTTTTCTATGTGCGCAACAATTTACACGGGCGTCTGATCTGACTACCCAGAGACCAACGAGAATTACTAGAAGTCTGAGTCCACGTGAAAAAATCCCAGCCGTTACCAGGGATTGAACCCGGAGCCTCTAGCAATCGAGGCAGACACTATGCCTCGAGACCACTCAGCCCCCACCCTAAAATGAATAAACAGGAAATGTCCTGGAAGGTAAAGGGTTGCCAGTATGAGTCTAGCATCATATGTCAGACCCACTACTGGCCTGACAGTGTGTGTGTGAATGTGTGCTTGTGGTGTGTCAGAGAGAGAGAGATAGACTTTTCTATAAGGAAAATGGAAGCCACCATGGTGTAGTGGCTAGATGCTCGCCTGCGGATGCGAAGGTCGTGGGTCCAGATCCGGACAGAGCCAGACAAAACAAAAATTACTTTGGCTCCCAGGTCGACCCAGCCTTAAATGGGTACCATAAAAAAAAAAAAAAAAGCTTTGCAAGTCAAGGTGCCCTGTGTGACGCTGATCACATCACCCATCGACTGCCGATTGATCTATAAAATATAGGTCTGGCCCTATACACCTGGGAAATGGGTCCTTTATTCTCTTACTTACTATACGGAAACTGACAATAAAATATGGAACTCTGAATTATAAATAGTTTAAAACCAAGTCTCATATTCTAACGTGGCAGTGAAAGTCTGACAAAACATGAACACTTTCACTTGGCAAATGCTTAAAAAATGGCTTATTAATCTGTGGATATTTCCGGAACAAATACTTAACAAAAAACACAAAAAAGCAAAAACTTATATACAGATCATTAATAAATTTTGTTTAACTGTATTTATCTACTTTTTCGACCCCCCCCCCCCCCCCCTCCCCCCTTTTTTTTTTCCAAAAATTATAAAGAAATACCAAGTGATAATTAACAGACACAATGTACAGGCAGTATTTTAAAACAAAACATTAAAGCATTTTTTTTCAGCACTACTGTAATAGAAAATTATTTTTTTACCTATTTTAGACACTTTGTTGTGAATACATGCACCTATTTGAACACTTTGTTGTGAATACCTGCGCCTATTTTAAACACTTTGTTGTGAATACCTGCACCTATTTTAGACACTTTTGGGTCAATACCTGCCCTTATTTTAGACACTTTGTGGTAAATACATGCATCAAACTTTTGAATACCTGCACCTATTTTAGAGAGTTTGTGGTGAGTACCAACACCTTGTTTTTTGGAGAAGGAGGGTTGGGGGGGGGGGGGGGGAGAGGGGGAGGATCTCTGGGTGGGTTTCAACCAGTATGGGTCTTGGCAACATCACATGTGGTTCACAATCCGTCCAAACCACTTTACAGTTACAACAACAAAAATTACCAATAATGAACAGTCAGTAACAAAAATGGATGTAAATAACACTGACATGAAATTTTGTTATCTTTATTATTATTATTATTGTGTCCCATTAAGTTTTGTTTAGATAGACACATAGTAAATTCATGTTAAATAGCGTGCATTGTGAAATCATGACTTTTCTTGGCTTCCTGAAGAAGGTAGTTTGCCACTGCTTTCCTTCTTGGCAGTGACCATACTAGTCAGATGACTGTTTCCACCGTTACTATAGTGTGATCCTCTGCCTATCGTCTGAGAACTTAAGATCATGATAAACATGGTTTTTGAAGATGTGAAAAGGAATGGGGGTTCTTTTGTAATATACTACCCCAGATGACATCACAGGGACAGTCCAACATTTTAGAGGGTGGTAAGACTAGGTTTCCCGGCTTTCTGATGGTTTTAACGACCCCAAAGCATCTAGGACTGGCCTTAACCCCATCACACCTACATCCCACGAGAGAGTGCAGCCTAGGTCCCACAAATGCATGCAGCCTATTATCTACCACCCCCTAAAATATTAGACTGTCCCGTGACCTGTGGATTTCCCCTGCTTGGGGTAGGATATTTATAAAGCACCAGAATAAAGTCAAAAACTTAGAAATTACTAGCAAGACTGATAGAAGGAGAGCCAGAGGAAGGCAAGAAAATAAATATATGGATGGCTTAGTCATTTGGATATCGGCGGCTGCGTCGCCCACTGGCTAACTGGTAGATGACTTAGTCGCTGGTTGGGACAGTATTTGGGTCTGTCTCCTTTGATCGCATCAAAAGGAATCCTTTTTATGACACTTGGTGACATGCAATGCTAAGCAATCTTATATGGCGCACATAACAAAGTCACAATTATAACCTAAAGCTCCCCCTTAAGAAATACTGATTGAACGTGATAATTTTTTCCCGAGTAAAGCAATGGAACAGCCATTTGGATGGAGCAAGACACCTCATTGGCCTGATTTGTGATTCTTGTGATCAAGTGAGATGGCAAAACATGACAGTTTATGCTCAACAGGCATAGTACATGATGATGAAGAAGAAGTGCAAATTCGTTTGTTTGTGTTCACCAGCTGAAAACCCCGGCTGAAAGTCCTGGTTTATTCATCCATTTCTGGATGTTGACTTTACTCCAGGTCCGGAGTTTTGCGTACGCATCCATTTTACAGATCTGGCTTATTTGTATGCATACTGTTGGTTCCCCGCCTCAGACAGATTCACTCCTCCTTAGTTAGTCCCTATAATTAGTTGACTTTTATGCCATGCTTGTTGAGAGCGAAAAAGGAGGGAGGGGGGGGGGGTCTTTTCTCTTGAGTTGAGCCAAGAATTAACATCACAGCACTCGGGGCGTTCCCATGCATGCTCCGCCCTCATCTTCAGCAGCCAGCGCAGAGTTCCAATACTAATGGTAGCGGTCACAATCTGGTTAAAAGTTCGTCTTGCCTTTCCTCTGATTGTAGTGAGCCGGCCAGACCCTCTGGTTACAGCCAGGTGCCTCATTCTCTCCAGGCAATAATAATCTTCTTTCTCTACTGATTCTGTTGCTTGTTCCCAAAGGGCCTTGACCACATCTGCCTTGTCATGTATCAATTCACCACCCAGTTACCCCTATAATGGGGGTCTGAAACCTACACGGGACAGAGGGCTAAAATAACTATAACAGCTGGCTGTGACAGAAAACAGCTTACACAGGCTTGTTTATAGATTAGTTTGCAATGTATATCATTACCAACCTGTTTATAGATAGTCAACAGTGGTTGAAGATTGTTTTATAGATAGTCAAACAGTGGTTGAAGATTGTTTATAGATAGTCAACAGTGTTTGAAGATTGTTTATAGATAGTCAACAGTGGTTGAAGATTGTTTATAGATAGTCAACAGTGGTTGAAGATTGTTTATAGATAGTCAACAGTGGTTGAAGATTGTTTATAGATAGTCAACAGTGGTTGAAGATTGTTTATAGATAGTCAACAGTGGTTGAAGATTGTTTATAGATAGTCAACAGTGGTTGAGAAATTGTTTCAGTCAACAGTGTTTGAAGATAAATAGTCAAAACCTGGTTGTTGAAGATTGTTAGCCATAAACCTCAGCCATAAACCATAGCCATAAACCTCAGCCACAAACCATAGCCATAAACCTCAGCCACAAACCATAGCCATAAACCTCAGCCACAAACCTCAGCCATAAACCATAGCCACAAACCATAGCCACAAACCATAGCCATAAACCTCAGCCATAAACCATACCCATCAACCTCCTGGACATTATCACTACATCACCTTACAGTCCCGATCTTGCACCTTCAGACTTCCATTTGTGCAAGGGGCTGCATGGTTTCGAGGTTTGATGTCCGTGTCAAGTGCTAGAGGTCCTGGGTTTAAGCCCTGGTGAGGGCTGGAATTTTTTTTCTGTTTATGTGGACTTCTAGTAATTTCCTCTGGTTTATGGGTAGTGAAATCGAACACCCGTGTGTATTTTATGTACGTAAAAAATCCCTTGGCAGTTCGAAATCGAAAAGAGTAGCCTAACGACGCTGCCCGGGCAAAATTTGGAGTTAAAAATCTACCCAAAATATTTCAGGATCCTCGTGGGTGCTATGAAGCCTGTGCACTGCACCGAGCTTGTTAGTACTCAGACTTAGAAATAGAACAAAGCACTGATGCGTTACTACCCGTGTGCCATGATGTTGATCTCTTGTTCAAACTTTAAACTTCCATTTGTTTGGACCAAAAGATCTTTGCGGACATCACTTTGAGAACACAGACACCCTTAAACGCACCATATGCCAATGTTTAGGAAAAAAGATACACAATTTTACCGTGTAGGGATACATACCCATGAGAAATTATGGGTAAAAATTTAATAAATAACAGAGACTGCATTGAGATATACATTTTTCAAGTACAGACTTGTGGCCACATTTCAGTGTGAATTTTATTTGACATCTTGCTTACTGAATGGAATATTTTCTTTTAATTACGAGATATTACTTTCTGACTGTCCCTTGCAATTCTTTGGGGTGACCAAGAAATGTGTGGTGCACTATTTCGTATTACAAGAGTTAATGACAACTGTAAATCATTAAGCCACAAATGACTTGTCCTGGGCCAGACAACAGGCAAATTTAAGAACCTACTCTTCAGCACTAGCTGAGAACATCGTACGGAACAACTAGACCAATGTTATAATTAGAAGCTTCTGGATCACTGTAGCTCGACAGGCATATATCGGGAATTCCCTGTGTCTGTTGGTTGGCCAGGAAATCGTACACTTGAACTGTTCCTCTGTACCTACAACAAAAAGAATGTCAGAAAGAGTTAGATACAACAACAACAAAAGTTAGTTAAATCCTTTACAGGATGTTGCAAAACCAACCCCAGCTTTAAGAAAAAAAAATTTGGGGGGGCTGACTGTGATTTTACTAGGCAGTTTTACGTTCAGTAGTTTGCCATTGCTGCCTGAACAATCAGCTCTCAGTACCACTGTTGAAATCAACGCAAGGTGGCCGGCTGCCAAATTGCCTATAGCTGGGACCGAACATAGCATCTTAGCATTATGAAGCGCGTTTGCAACACCTAACTATATAAAACAACAGATTCTGAAATTATGCAATATACTGATTGTGTCTTGTTGATTTAAACTGATACAAAACATATTTACAAGAGGAAGTCAATAAGTAAGTCTCAAATGGTTGTTTAAAAAAACTAAATACGATAACAACTAGAGATTTAGCAAAATATGTAATAAATTGTGCAATGTACTGTTCTTTGTTTAGTTGTCCAGAATTTACTGGTATATGTTAAAACTGGCTCTATGTAAACATGTCATAAAAAAGTAAAGGTCCCTTTTTCACAGCTTTACGTGTACTGGGCATATAGGGCTAGACCTATACTTCATTGACCAATTGGTACTGGGTGGACACTGTGGTCAGCATCACGCCGGCTGCCTTCAGATCCCAGGACTGTAGTTGGTACTCACTTAAGGCTGGGTCGACCCAGGAGCCAAGTTCATGTTTGAAAAGAAAAGTCTGCCAAGACCCGAACACATGACCTTTCACTCTGCATGTGAGCATCTGGCTGCTACACCAAGGCAGCTCCCTAGCTCTATGTAGCATGCAAAAAATGTTTTTACATGTGTGTCAAAAATACTCAGATAATAGTAAATGTTCTTAGTGCACTTGTTTCTATAGCGAGGCGCACAAGCCGTCTGGAGGTGACAGGTTCAATTCCCGGCACGGTAACAATAGCTTTCAATTTTTATTTTGTACAGTGTATTCTTATATCTTTCTACTTCTTTCTATGAGTGTCAATCAATACATTTTCTGTTACTTTATTAATTTATCAGATAATAGTAAAAGTACCTCAAAGAAGAGACTACTTCAAATTCATCAGTCTCCGGGAACTTGTTGTAGGGAACATTTCCGATGATGAGCAATCGGTCATCAAAATGGCAGTACTGGACGGGGTGTCTGTAATTATCAAAGTTTATGACAGAAAGAAAACAAACTTCCCCATTTGTGACATTTCAGATATTATTTCTAACTAGGGCTGAAACTACAATCAATAAAAAGGTGAATTCATTTCCTGTATTAACCCTTTGAAGACGGAGCCTTATTTGGAGTTTCAGTGTCAAGAAGACAGAGCTTTCTCCTAATCTGCACACACACAAATTTTAAAAAATAAATGAAAGAATCTCAGTCTCTCGCCTGCTCTCCTGCCTCGTGTACTTTTATATTCGAGGAGTAACTTAGATCCTGTGCCCATCTTCGTGTTGGTCGGCCCCTGCTCTTTCTTCCTGGTTCTATGCCTTCTGTTATTTTTTTTTTCAGTCGGCCATGGCCCTTGAAATGACCAAAGTACTTCAACTTCAGAGACAAGATGCTGTTTATTAGCCAATCTTCCTTGAAGTTCAGATCTTTTAAAATTTCAGTATTTCTTCTCGTGTTTGTCCATGGTATTCTCAGAATCTTTCTATAGCATTTTAGCTCAAAACCCATATTTTCTTTCTTATAGACTGGGAGATGGTCCACGTCTCACATCAGTACGTTGCTACAGGGAATATGGGAGATGATCCACGACTCACATCTGTACGTGGCTACAGGGAATATGGGAGATGGTCCACGACTCACATCCGTACATTGCTACAGGAAAGATGCACGCTCTCAAAATTTTAATTTTGATTTCCTTGCTGGTGCTTACCCAGAGATTTTTAATGCTATAGCAATGCAAAGACCAACTAGCATGAAGAACCTAATGCACAGCGTCTGCAAGCGAGTTAAGCATTTTGAGATCATGCGTCTTTTTCATGGCAACTTATGGATGTGAGTCATGGACTCTTCATCCCTTAAGTGAAGGACAAAATCAGAGCTTCTAAAGCGAAATGCTACAGAAAATTCTTAGAATACTATGGACTAAGAAGAAGCAAAACACAGACATCCTACATGATCTAAGCATCCAGGAGAACTGGCTCATAAACAGTATCCCGTCCTGAAAGCTGAGGTATTTTGGCTATGCTGAACATCACGGTGGTCTGGAGAGAATAGTCATGGAGGATACAGTTTCCGGAACATTAAGTATAGGCTGACCTCCGTTAACATGGATACAAGATCCTGAAGATGCCTTGACTATGAAAGCACATAGGGCTAGAGAATTGGCCAGAGAAAGAGACTTTCAGCCGTGTCATGATGAGAGCAACGTTCTGAAAAGGACCTGTTGACTGATGATGGCAAGGTCACTGGGTCAAGCAAGCGTCATGCAATAATTAGTTCACAGCCCCCTCACCCCCCCCCCCCCCCCCCCGGAGATAAAAGGCAACTGACTCTATGCTGCATTTTTTTTAAAACTGACCTCTTCCCCCCCCCCCCCCTTTTTTTTACTCTCTACTGTATTTGTTTGTGCACGATAACTGACTTTCATGCAATTTTCTTGTTTTTTCGTGTATGTGTGCATGGGTGACCTATGTAAAATGGTTGTTTTTCTAAAACCACCTCTCTCTCTCTCTCTCACATCGTCATCATCATCATCATCAAGTGCCTTGACACCTGGCGTAGGCGTTCATGCATCTCCACTGATCTGTCTTTGGTATTCTGGATCAATTCCGCTGATGACACATTCCTTCATATCACTATCCAGCATCATTTCTCTTGGTCTGCCTCTGCCTCTTCTATCAGTGATATTTCCAGTCACCCTTCCTGGATGTACACAAAGTGGGTCATTGGGGCAAAAGGGAGAGATGGAAAGGTGCCAACTAACCTGTTACGCACATCCCACAACTTGCGACACATTCTCTGATCCCACACACAGACAAAGCCTCCTTCATCTCCAGAGACCACTTTCCAATCGTCCATTTCTACGGCTGTAATCTTTGCAGCATGCCCCACCAAGGTCAAGGATGCAGACACACCAGCCCTCAGATCATAAAGTCGAATTCTGAAGATTAAATGAAAGTTAAAAGGTTAAAGGTTAAAGCAATGAGGATCGACTTCACTGCACTGAGTTTAATCCCATATGGCTTGGTTTCTTTCCGCAGAACAGCTAGCCGCCTACTTAGAGTGCCACACAGAGCGCGAACTCAATTGGAGAGTCTAGTGACGATCTCCGGGGATCTCCGTAAAAATTGCACACGTGAAATGAATGGCGCAGCCGTGAAAGGAACCCACTACCTTCAGAGCCTGAGGCAAATGGCTTGATCACTTCGCCATGTAAACCCTGTGAAAATTAAATAAGGTTAAAAGAATTTTAAAACCCAAGAGATGAAGGAGGCAGACCAAGAATAACATGGAAAGATAACATCAGAAAAACTCTACAACAGTACGAAGTGTCTATGGTCAAGACAGTCAGAAAAGCTAGAAACAGACCCGAATATTTCCCTCAACACCCAAAGCGGTAAAAGAGAAAGTGATGAAAGTGAATAAGAATTTATTATCACAATACAGAACCACTGTACGCCAGTGATTCCCAAACCGTGCGCGCGGTGCCCCAGGAAGCAGCGACCTCTTCACATGGGCGCCGCGAAATATTGTAAAAGCTTCCTAATTAATTTAACCAAGACAGGAATAGTCATACTTTTACTTAAGTCAGGGTGCCGTGAAAAAATTGTAATTGAAAAAAAGGAGCCGCCACCAAGAAAAGTTTGAGAAACACTGCTGTATGCGTTCAGGCGCCCCCTCTGAGTGTAGAAGTAGGCATGCAATCTCAGGCCCCGACACAAAGTCCACATGGACAAACCACCAGGATTTTCTGCCACAGCCTACAGCCAGTTAACAAAGAAGAAGATATTACATATTATTTGTTTAGTTTCAACTCTTCTAGGGACTGCGTGGTCTCGAGGCATAATGTCCGCCCCGAGTGCTAGAGATTCTGGGTTCAATCCCCGGTAAGGGCTGGAATTTTTTCACGTGGACTTGGACTTCTAGTAATTTCGCCTGGTCTCTGGGTAGTAAGATCGGACGCCCGCGTGCATTGTTACGCACGTTTTAAAAAAATCCCTTGGCAATTGGAAATCGAAAAGAGTAGCCAAACGACGCTGCCCAGGCAAAATTGTGAGTTAAAAATCTACCCAAAGTATTTCAGGATCCTCGCCGGTGCTATACAGCCTGTGCACTGTGCTGAGCTTCTTCAGACTCAGACTTTAGAAGAAAAACGGAGCACTTATGGGTGTTCCATTGTTCTAACCAAAAAAAATTTAAACCTTTTAACCCTTCTGTCCCGCAATTGCTAGGAAACAATGGGTCATGAACTCTAGGTAATTTTTTTTAAAATCCTTTTTTAAAAAAAAACTGTTTTACACAGGTAGCTAATAAAATATTTAACAATTTATTTATCTACATTTTAATAATTATTGTTTTGAAATATATAATGATATATAAAATAATAATCAATTTACATGAACATATTGAAGCAATAAATGGAATGCATTTATATTCCCCCAGGGTTCCTGAAGCATGAATATGCCATCAGAAAGCCTGGAAACCAGTCTTACCACCCTCTAAAATGTTGGACTATCCTGTGACGTCATCTGGGGTAGGATATTAATTAAGAACCATTTTTTCTTTTTTGTTCGCAGGCTGTAAGCTCTGGCAGAAAATCCTAGTTCTTCGTCCATTTGGACTATGACTTTGTGTCAGGGCTTAGTTTTGCATGTACGTTTGTTTTACTGGCTTTTTTGAGTGCAGTTGGCTGTTCCCTGCTGCTTGGGTAGATGCATTCTGACTTACCAATGCTATGTTATCAGTGTCAAACATGGACACTGTCTTCGAAAGACAGAAGGAAAATAGTCATGACAGAAATGAAATGTTTACGTACTATGCTAGGTGAAACGAGGAAAGATCGACTTAGGAATTATGATATCAGGAGGAGAGTCGGCACAGAACCAATACTGAACTTTATAGGCAGAGAACAAATCAAATGGTTTGGCCATGTTACAATACTGGTATCAGACAGTGCACCACAGAGAGCAACGTTATACAGATACAACAGTAACAGAGCCGGGGTTGACTATGCAGAAAGTGTATACAAAATTGAAGATAGGCAAATCAGCCATGTGTACATGTGGATTGGCACCTGAGACAACAGATCACGTCCTCCAAGACTGTCCCAAATACAACATATCAAGGCAAAACTTTTGGCCAAGAGAAACACCGGTGCAAGCCAAACTTTATGGGTTAATGAGTAAATTACAACAGACAGTGAAGTTCTTACTAGTGAGAACAATGAAAATATAGATAACCTATTTCAAACGAACGAAAGAAGAAGAACAACAACAACAGAGATCATAGGTAATGGCCTAGATTCCTTCCACGACACAGAAAGACAGCACAGGGTATCAATGAATGAACAGATTGTGGACCCTGTGTGTTGTATCGATGGCCCAACAGGATGATGACAATCACGTGAAAGACAGTTTACTTCCTGTCTGACAAAAACACTTACTTCCTATCTCCACTTCCTGTGACAAGCTGGTGACTTGGTGTGTCTGGCATGAAAATGCACGAAACTATCCAGGTGTGGCCTGTCAATGTTGTAATTAGATTGTTCTTGATCAAATCGTAGACATTCACCTGGAAGAATTCAATCAAAAAAAAAAAAAAGGGTAAAACTACTATGTCTAAGTGAGGTCCTGGACATGTGGATCTAAAGAATAGGCGCATATCTTCTGCTTCTTCTTTGTGTTCCCAGATGTATTTCCTATGAGGCAGCTTCATACAAAAACCTTTAAAAAAGTGTGACAGACGTTACAATGCCATGCTATTGTCTTATAACCTGTCAGCATTGTTGTTAAGGATGTCAAGATTGTTAAGCACATGACACTACAGTGCAGGCAAACATAGTGACATCATAATGACAGTTTAAAGATGGCCTGATGCACCAATGGGGTGAAAAGGATCCTGCAACCTGTGTGTGTGTGCTGTTGTCAAGGATGTCAAGAGTGTCAAGCACATGACATTATAGAGCAGAAAATACGGTGACATCATAAAGACAGTTTATAAAGATGGGCTAATGCACCACTGGGGTGAAAAGGGTCCTGTAACCTGTCAGTACTGTTGTCAAGGATGTCAAGAGTGTCACCCACAAACATGGTGACATCATAATGACAGTTTATAAAGATGGGCTGATGCACCACTGGGGTGAAAAGGGTCCTTTACTTACTTATGTACTTTACAACTGTGATTATACTGAAAGACAAAGGCCTACCTTGATTTGAGTAGATGGCCCTGCATACAAATTGAATCCTACAGCAACTTCCTCTGCACTTCTCCGAAACCCAACTGAGGTAATAGGTGCCCAAATAACATTATGTACCTGAAACAAAATGTCAATATACCAATCAATTAATAGGTGCCAAAATGACATTATGTACCGGAAACAAAAATGTCAATATACCAATCAATCACTCCTCATCGAGCTCAGAGGCACATAAGGCAGAGACAAACTGACGCCATACAGCTAGATCCTGAGCCATCCTCTCTATCTCCAGTTTAGTCCTTCGGGTAGCCTTGAGTTCAGCTTCAAAAGTTCGCCTCCAAGTGCATCTGGGCTTGCCTCTTCCTGGCTGTTTTTGTAGTTTTCATTGCATTACCTGTCTCGGCCATCTTTCTTTCTTCATTCTGAGGTCATGTCCAATCTACCTCCATCTTCGCTTTTTGATTTCTTCTTTTCTCTCATTTGTTGTAATCTAGAATTGCTTATTTTATCTTCCCCTATGAACCCCAACAAACTTCTGAGAAGTCTTCACTCAAAACCTCTGAGCATGCTCTGTGTCTTTCTGTAGGTTTTCCAAGTTTCTGCTCCATAGAGGAAAACTGTCATAACACACGTTTTGTATACCCTGAATTCTTGATTTTCCCCAAACTGGGGCCTCAAAACCCACAAAGGGATAACACCCAATCTCAGCATAACCCCTAATTAGTTCATTTTAACTCTTACATTACCAGAAGACTTCAAAGGAGACGGCAAAGTGAAGATATAACCATGATGAAAATCATCAGTGACTTACTTTTCAAGTGGCAGTATACACAGGACTCGTTACTATTGGGGAAGGCAGGTTTCTTAAGTATGTTCCCACCAAATGTTAAAGTTAAGAGAACACATTATGCTAAGAAAGTAAATCAATGTGTAAAGTGATTCACACATCAGGCGTTGCTTGGAAATCAAATAGTTGAAACATGCTTGTTACGGGGTTAGTGTGGCTGTTCTTTTCCTCCAAAAACTTTGTCATACTGTGGTGTGTCTTTAGTCAAACAATCAGGTGCCTTCTCCATAGCTACAATATGCTTTCAACATTTTTTTTTCCTATTCTGGTTGTACATTCTGATAGATTGCACATCTCTGAATGTTACCATCCCACTTGTATCGTTTTCTACCTCTTGCTTTGCTTCATCATCAATATGAATCAGCAGGTCCTTTACAGAACACCACCTTCATCACAACACGCCTGAAAGTCTCTCTTTCTCTAGCCAATTCTCCAGCCCTATATGCTTTCATAGCCATCTTCAAAGACTTGTTATCAATGCCATGCGCGCTGCACTTACCGTACCAAGGAACATGCCAAAGGACATGACTCCCCGTATCCCTGTCTAGACTGATGGACAAGGGGTGCAGCCTGGAGCTGCAAGCAATGAACATTTCACTAATGGGACAAGACATGTCATTAACCAACACAGAACAGGCGTCATCAGTCGTTTTACACTTGTGGAGCTTTTGAGGAGGAGATCAGAGCACCTATGGATCTGTCCAGAGTGCTGTGATGATAATCCTTTTTAATCACTAATCACTAAAGACTTGTATCCACCTTTTTTTGTTGTTGTTGCTTATCACCAAAAACTGTTCTGTTCTTTCAACCTAACACCTCCAGCTTGAAACAACCCTTATAAGATGGCTTTTAACAACATTCTTGTTAACTCTTTTGTCTGGGGAAGTATCAAAACCACCACAACTATCTATAGTGACTTGCTCATGAAAATCCTCGCTAAAAGCATTGATTCCATTAGCACATAGTTTAATAGGTCAGCCAGAAGAAATATTTACTAAAAATCGCATTTGTGGGTGTTTCTTTTTGATAAATTGGCTTTATTTAAAGAAATTAAGACATTAGTCACAACTGTCCCCCAGCGGCCAGGTCATAGGAAATGAGTCACAGCAAATTTTTTTTAACCTCAGGATAATGTAACCTAGTCAACTCCAAGTTGCATTCATTTTTGTTGTCTACTCCACATATTCAGTGTTTAATGTTTGTTTGTTAATGAATATTCTGAAAAAAATTTGTGAACTGCATAAAATTGTTGTTTTTCAAAAATACTTTTTTGTTTATATATATATATATATATATATATATATTCTTTTTTTTTTTTTTAATAAATATTTTATATAAAGTTAAAATAAAAAAAATGTTAGTTTAACAGATATTACAAGTACAAATGTCCTCAATTTCAAAATTGCTTGATGCCACTTGAAACTTCCTGAGCTTCCCCAGGCTGAAAACCACTGTGTGAGACCCTGAGCTTCAAAGACCAATCAAGCCTTGATGGTGATGCATTTAACATCACACCAGCTGACTTGACTTCCCTGGATATTTCCTGGTTGACCTTGGAGCCCTAGGTGAATTATAAAAATCCATCTCAGTGGATTGAAGCCAAAACTTTTGGGCTTATAGTTGAGCATCTACCCACTCGGCTACGCTGACTTCCATTCATAGAAGTAAACAAAGGAATGGAAAAATTTAGAAGAAGAGTAGAAGTAGACAGAAGATGAGAGAGAAGAAGACAGAAGAAAAACGGACAGAGAATAGAGAAAAAAAGGAAGAAGATTAAGAAAAATACAAAGAAGAAGACAGAGAAGAAAGAGAGAAGATACTTAAGGAAAAAAAAGTCAGATGAAGCCATAAAGCAAGAGAGAAGAAAATACAGAAGAAAACAAAGAAAAAGATGAGCCAGAGAAAAAGAAAGAAAGAAAAGAGAAGCAAGAGAAAAAAAAAAAAACATCCAGAAGACACATGAAGACAGAATATGACCAATACCTCACCTCTGTTGTCTTTTCATCCTGTCTTGAATAATTCCAGGGAGATGACACACTGACAGCCTTCACATACACAGTATTATGACCTGTTATGAGTAGGCGGGGCAAGCTACTTGATGGACACTGGCTCAACCAATCAAGCTTAGTCACCTGAATATTATTAATTTTAGCTATATTAAGCATGTACGATCAAGTGTGTAGGCACATGCACATGTATGTGTGTTGCTGTTATTATTGTTTTTTTAAAGGCTGATAGTTGGAAGGACAGACAGAATTTTTTTTTTTTAACTGTTCCTTTCAAACAGGCCAGAAATTGGCCAAACAAGTCCCCCAGTTATTCTGCTGTTCCTGTCGCGGACCTTTTACACTTGAATTCACTGATAGGCCCAACCAAATCAGTTCCAAGAGACACTTCTCACCTTCTGCATCTGCCTTTAAAGTGTGGTTGGCATGTTGTATTGTGGTTTACAGCTAGACTGTGATATCTGCACCTTTTATACTAATACATCAAATGTCTGCAAAGTCTCAACTGATTGCCTTTTATGACATGCTTGTTAGGAATCTGTGGGTCTATATGACGCAGTCTATGAAAAAAATCCACTATCTTCAGATTGATAGCCCAATGCTTAACCACTCAGTTGTCGTCTTTGCGTTCATCAGCTGTAAACCTGAGTGTTGCATGTATGCAGACTGTTGGTTCTTTACCTCTCAGGCAGTTGCACTCCCGGCTTCGAAGGAAGCTCCAAATCAGTTGATTATTATGATATGCTTCTTGACGAGCATATGGTATATTCTTGTTTTCCGCCAACAAAGGGACCCCGGAACCCACACAGGGAAACCATGAAGTCAAGACGATCACCTTTTAATTTTAAAAAAAAAAACCACAAACACATACCACTACAAACATATAAGCTACAAACACAAACTGCTACATACACACTGCTACAAACGCATAACACCACAAACACATATGATTAAACAAAAATAACACTACAAACACATCCCATTACACACATATCATTAAACAAATAAAACTACAAACATACACTATGATTATACATATCACAATATCATAAACACACACAAACTACAAACACATACCAAATATATAATACATATCATTAAACACACATAAAACTACAAACATACTACTACAAATATATAATATATCACACATATCATTAAACACACATAAAACTACAAACATACTACTTACTACAAATATATAATATATCACACATATCATTAAACACACATAAAACTACAAACATACTACTTACTACAAATATATAATATATCACACATATCATTAAACACACATAAACTACACACATACAACCACTAGAAACACATACCGCTACAACTATATAGGTTTTAAACAAATTCACTCATACCCACACACACATTCCACATACCGCTGAACTGAGGTCAAATTCACTCAGGCATTCCCCAACCTCCTCTCCAAGCTCACAGACTTGAACTCGGGTGCCCTGGGAAGCTGCTACCAAAGAAACCCTGCTGTCTACATCACACGCTGATAAACTTGTGATGTCTGGATTTGAAAACGTGAAAGTGTGGATGGGATCTGTGCCGCCTTCATTTCGCCAAACATCCACAAACCCTGTATATGAGATTATCATATCTGAAACATCCACAAACCCTGTATATGAGATTACCATATCTAAAACATCCACAAATCCTGTATATGAGATTACAATATCTAAAACATCTACAAACCCTGTATATGAGATTACCATTTCTAAAACATCCATAAATCCTGTATATGAGATTACCATATCTAAAACATCCACAAATCCTGTATATGAGATTACCATACCTAAAACATCCCCAAACCCTGTAGATGAGATTACCATATCTAAAACATCCACAAACCCTGTATATGAAATTACCCTATCTAAAACATCCACAAACCCTGTATATGAGATTACCACACCAAAAACATCCACAAACCCTGTATATGAGATTACAATATCTAAAACATCCACAAACCCTGTATATGAGATTACTGTATCTAAAACATGCACAAACCCTGTATATGAGATTACCTTACCTAAAACATCCACAAACCTTGTATATGAGATTACCATATCTAAAACATCCACAAACCCTGTACATAATTAAAATTTCTAAAACATCCACACGCCCTTATATGAGATTAGCATTTTAAAGCATCCACAAACCCTTGATATGAGATTACCATATCTAAAACATCCACAAACCTTGTATATCAGATTACCATATCTTAAACATCCACAAGCCCCTGTATATAATATTACTATATTTAAAACAACCATAAAACCTATATGTCTTATTCTTCTTCTTCTTCTTCTTCACGTTCACCAGCTATAAACTCTGGCGGAAAGTTCTGGTTGTTCATCCACTTTTGGACTGCAGTACTGTTCCAGAATCTGAGTGTTGCATGTGCATCCATTTTACAGATCTGACTCACTTGTATGCAGACTGACGGTTCCTTGCCTCACGCAGATGCACTCCGACTTTAAAGGAAGCTCCCAATTAGTTGACTCTAATGACATGCTTTTGGGTAGGCAGTGGGTCTATTCTTGTTTTCCCTATAAAGGGCCCCAGAACCCACACGGGGAAACCTATATATATAATAAAGCCATTTCTAAAACTTCATAAACCCTATATATAATATTAAAAATAAAAGTAAAGTAAAGATCCCTTTTCACGCCTTAGGCGCATCGGGTATATGGGAAGAGGGTTCCATATTTTTACAGACCAATTGGCACTGGATGGGTAATGTGGTCAGCATTACGCCAGCCGTCTTTACTTTCCAGGACAGCCATCCTGGTACCCATTTTAGGCTGAGTCGACCTGCAACGCCCATACCATGATACACATTCACGCAGCCAGCAGTGGGTTTCGATCGCGGTACATTGGATTACGAGTCGGACTAGCAACGCCTAAGCCACGGACGCCGCATTTTTAATATTACCATATCTAAAACATCCATAAACCCTATATATAATATTACCAGATCTAAAACATCCACAAACCCTATATATAATATTACTATATCTAAAACATCCATAAACCCTATATATAATATTACCATATCTAAAACATCCATAAACCCTATATATAATATTACCATATCTAAAACATCAATAAACCCTATACTTAATATTACTTTATCTAAAACATCCATAAACCCTATATATAATATTACTATATCTAAAACATCCACAAACCCTATACTTAATATTACCAGATCTAAAACATCCACAAACCCTATATATAATATTACCAGATCTAAAACATCCATAAACCCTATATATAATATTACCAGATCTAAAACATCCATAAACCCTATATATAATATTACCAGATCTAAAACATCCACAAACCCTATATATAATATTACCAGATCTAAAACATCCATAAACCCTATATATAATATTACCAGATCTAAAACATCCATAAACCCTATATATAATATTACCAGATCTAAAACATCCACAAACCCTATATATAATATTACCAGATCTAAAACACCCACAAACCCTATATATATAATATTACCTAGATCTAAAACACCCACAAACCACAAATTACCAGATCTAAAACACCCACAAACCCTATATATAATATTGCCAGATCTAAAACATCCACAAACCCTATATATAATATTACCAGATCTAAAACACCCACAAACCCTATATATAATATTACCAGATCTAAAACACCCACAAACCCTATATATAATATTACCAGATCTAAAACACCCACAAACCCTGTATATAATATTACCAGATCTAAAACATTCACAAACCCTATATATAATATTACCAGATCTAAAACATCCACAAACCCTGTATACAAGATTACCATATCTAAAATATCCACAACCCTTGTATATGTGATTTCTATATTTAATACAGCACATTTTTCAAAAGTCATGGCGAATCAATTGCCAGCCTTAAGTTCCTAGGTTCGAACCCACATCAAGACAATATTTTTGTCAATGATGATTAAGGCTCCAAGATCAACACAGTCTAAAATTGGTATAGGAAATGTCCTGGGAAGTAGACGTGGCTGACATCATCAACAGAGTGCTGATTCTTCTTCTTCTGCTTTCATTTCCCATCGGAGCACAGGCTCTCAACCAACTCACATCAAGTCATCTTACCCGTTGCTACTGCATGCAGGTCATTCAATGTCTCTCCCCTCTAGTTCTTTTCTCCATGTGTCTTTGGTCTGTTTTTGTTTCTATACTTTTGTGGGTTCCAGTTCAAAGCCGTTCAAGTTCAATGGTTCTCAGGTTTTCTCAATGTGTGCCCTATCCAATGCTAGCATCTGTTCCTCAGCTGTTGACTCACTGGAATACATTTTTTTAGTTCTCTCCTAAAGCTCAACATTAGTGATTTTATCTTCTTCTTCTTCTTCTTCTTCTTCTACTTCTTCTTCACTTTATCTTCTTCCTCCTCCTTGTCCTTCTTCTTCTTCTTCACTTCCTCTTTTACCGCTGTGGGTGTCGAGGGAGATATAAGGTTCTGTTTCTAGCTCTTCTGGCCGCCTCGACCATAGGCACATCGTGCTGTTGTAGAGTTTCTCTGATGTTATCCTTCCATATTGTTCTTGGTCTACCTCGTGCTCTACGTCCTTCTTCTCTTTTCATGTATGCTTTGTATGGTATGGTGTCACAAGGCATTCTCTCTAAGTGGGCAAACCATTTCACTTGCTGTCTTCGTATGTAATCCAGAATTGTTTCTGTGCCGACTTTTTCACTTATGATCTCATTCCTGATCTTATCTCTTATGGTCACTCCTACAGCCCTTCTCAGACATCTCCAATTTTATCACACTAATTAATTTCCCCTATTCTGTGCAAACACCATTTAATGAAAGTTTGTAGTTTTCAGTTTGTTAGTAACTGTTTGCAATGTTCTCAGTATTTCAACACCGAACAGCAGTGCTGACTGGTCAATAAATATACTGCTCTGATCACACATGCCTGGGTCAATGGTCTTTTCCTCTTCCTCCATTGAACTTCTTAGTCATAGTACAAGTCATGTGATGAGAGGAAGAAAACTAGAGTACATCGAGACGGTAGGAAAGTTGGAGAGGAGGAGAGACAGAGGAAGGCCAAGAGAAAAGATGCTGGACAGTTTGACATCAAGGCATGGAGGATTATCTGTGTTCGAGTTGATTGAAAGCACCAGAGACGGAAGGTTTTGGATAGACATGGCTATCAACGCCACATAGCATGGACTTTAAAAAGAAGAAGTTTGAGTCATATTAAAGTTACGACTAAAGCAGAAATTTTTTTTTTTTAAGTAAAAACAAATACCATGTCTAAATGATGCTGCTGTCACAAATGCTGTCGTTGAAACTTGTTTGATCTCATTATGGATTCGACCCAGCTCCTCTGCACTCTCATCCAGGACTAGTGCAGTGTTGCTGGCATTAAACGTACACACATCTCCAGTTTTCGTGTTCCAGGAGCGAACATTGCAGCTCGTGTATCTATGCCAGAAAAAAAATCAGGCCATTGTTGTTGCAGGAATATACCGCAGCTTCCTACAAGCCACTTAAAATGGCTACAAATTAAAATATGACTAAAAAGCTCAACAAATGGAAAGGAAAAATCTTAACAGAAACCAACTGTATGTTTCAACCAAATTCTGAATTCCCAAATTTAAAAAAAAAATGCTCCATATGTGGGTTTAAGGGTCCTTTTGGTTAGGGGGGGGGGGGGGGTAGATCTAGACCTCTTCACAGGGGCACCGAGAAATTTTCAAAGATACACACATTTTTTTATCTCTTATCTCTGTCATACGAATATTCATACTTTTACTTAGGTTAGGGCGCCGCTGAAAAATTTTAATTGAAAAAAGGCGCCGTGACTAAGACAAGTTTGGGAAACACTGAAGTACAGTATGCTGTAAGTTACTTAATATGGTCAGAACATAAAATTTGCTTCTGGTCGACCCAAACTTAAATGGGTACCAGATAAAGTCGCAGGAAGTAAATGCAGCCGGCGTGATGCTGACGACATCACTCAATGAATGCTGTTTGGTCTATAAAATATAGGTCAAGAACTATGTGCCCAAAGGCACGGAAAAGGGCCCTTTACATAATTTGCCTAGGAAGCTTAACAAATGGAAAGAGAAAGACGCACAAAGATACAACCAACCATTCAGATTTTATTACTGTAGCTGACTCATAAAGCATGTTCAGAAAGGTGACGACAGTTACGCTTCTTGCAGTGTGCCTCCGTTTCAGAGCTCCCAGCTAGTTAGCAGCATTCTGTGGATTATATCTCCAGGGCATGCAGGTGTTGGGAAATGAACAGGCAGACAGACTGGCTGGTTCTGCACCTCTTGGTGGTGAACTGATGTATGACAAGCTAGATGTTGTCAAGGCCCTTTGGAAGTGAGTGAACAGTACAGAGGCAAAATTAGATCATCATTTCTGTGTGCCGAGAATGGTGTAGCGGGAAGTGACCAGGGCATCTGGCCGACAGGCAACACACAGGAAGAAGGTCAGATGGACATACAATCAGACTGCTACTGTCACCATCGGACTGGAACTCTGCTGCTGAAGATGAGGAGCGAGCGCTTATGAGGATGTCATTAGTGCCATAATGTCAGTTCTTAACCCATCTCAACTTGACCAAATATTTTGATCAATTTTTTTTACAGGACATAAAACAGAATCACAAACAACAAAAACTAAATGAAAACAATCATAAAGACAGGTAATCCACATGTTTTCATGTTTTTTCTAAGCGGATTCGAAGCCGCCATAGTTTAGTGGTTAGACGTTCCTCTCAGACCCGAAACTTGTAGGTTCAAATCTACATCCAGCATAGTCTTTGGCTCGCAGGTTGACCCAGCCTAAAATGGATACCAGGTAAAATTCTGGGAAGTAAATGTGGCCGGCATGATGTTGAGTTGACCACATCACCCACCAAGTGTCGCCCTACATGATCAATATGCCCTTTTCAATATGAAAAGGGTCTTATCGTCGTTGGTGGTTGTGCCATGGGGGCGTTGACGGTGAGGATGATGGTGCTGGTGCTAGTGGTGATGATGATGTTGATAATGGTGGTGGGGGTGATTATGATTAGGGTTAGTGTTGATGGTTAATAATGATGGTGGTTGGTGGTGGTGGTGATGATGATGGTGATGATGATGGTGGTGGTGATTATGATAATGGTTGGTGTTGATGGTGATGATGGCAGTGGTGGTCATGCTGATGACAGTTGGTGTTGATGAAGCTGGTGGTGTTGGTGGTAGTGGTGGTGGTGGTGGTGATGCTGAAGATGACTACTTACCCAGCAACAATGTTAGAACCACAGGAATGCACAGCACATAAAATCCCTCCTCTGGGGTAGCTCAGATTATAGGGCTTCCCTGTTCTGGCCTGTTGAGGTAAATCAGATCCATTCAAGTTAATTATAATAAAACCTTCTAGTACCGAAAGAGTTAGTATTGGGATCACATAATTAAACCAAGTCTTTCTTGGTAAGATGTACACCATATACTGTGGTACCTATGGTAGGCTGCATCTAGGATAGCTGATATTACAAGGCTTCCCTGTTCTCAAAATAAAAACAAACACACACACAAAAGTCTATTCTCAAAAACACCTGTCTTGATACAGATTCGAAGCTAAGACCTTGGGGTCAGCAGGTGAGCATGTACCCAATGTGCCGCTACTGGGGCTCCAGAAACTAGATGTGCTTATGCTGATTCTGGTACCTTTCCATCTTACTAGATCAGCGGTTATCAACCTGTGGGTCATGACCCTTTAGTGGGTCAAACGATCCTTTCACAGGGGTCGCCAAAGACTATCGGAAAACACATATTCCCTGAAGTTATGAGGTAGCAACGAAAATAATTGTATGTCTGGAGGTCGTCACAACATGGGGAACTGTATAAAGGTTTGCTGCATTAGGAAGGCTGACAGCCTCTGTTCTAGATGATGGTTGAAGTCAGGGATGAAGTTCCTCCTGGGCAGTGCTGTAGAGATCATGTGTTGCCCATGTATCATGATCTCTCTTTTAACCTGCCTTGTTTATTCCAAAGGAAAGGTAACACCAGTATGGAACTTTGGAACAAAGTGTGCTGCAAGAATGATGCATGTCTGTCCGCCTGTCAGGGCTTCCCTTTTTTAGACCAGCTGCCAGTTGAGTTAAGTTGAGTCTAGAATTGAGATCACAGCACTTGAGGCATTCTCATGCATGCTCCGTCCTCATCTTTAGCAGCCAGCGCAGTTCCAATAATGATGGTAGGAGTCACAATCTGGTTATATGTCCGTCTTGCCTTTCCTCTGAGTGTAGTGAGCCGGCCAGACCCTTCGTTTACACCCAGGTGCCTCATTCTCTCCAGACCATAATAATCTTGTTTCTCTACTGATTCCGTTGCTTGTTCCCAAAGGGCCTTGACCACATTTGCCATGTTATGCATCAGTTCACCACCCAGTGGTGCAGATCCAGCCAATCTGTCTGTCTGTTCATTACCCACTAGTCTGGCATGGCCTGGAGAAAAGATCCAAAGTCAGACCAGCTGCCAGTCAAGGATAATGGCCTGGTATTCTCTGCCTTAACATTAAGTTTTTAGGTTGCATTTCTTCTTCCTAGGGTAAGTCTAGTATCCTCCCCAATGTGCTTCTCTAGGGGTCTGTGAGAAACCCCACACCATAGAAGCTCTTCGCCTTCAAGACTTCTCCAGCTGTGGCTTCCTGTAAATGTGAGACATAAACACACACACACACACAAGTATACAGCCAGTCAACTCTCCTGTTGTCAAGCTACAGTCTGGGTGTAAACCATAAAATAATACACCAACTGCATTTCTCTTTTAGCTCAGGTACAGAACACTGCAGACTGAATAAACACTCATATAAATTAGGTATGAGCCAAACAGCTCTCTGCCAGTGTCTTCGTGCTGAACAGAGTCCAGAACATGTCCTGCAAGACTGTCCTCTCTTGGCGGAGCTGCGGAGCAACATATGGCAACAATCAGTAGAACTGCTAACTAAGCTTTGGGGAAACCTAAGAGTCCTTGAAAAGACATCCCAGTTTATGGCCCACAGTGGATTATGCGCATGACCAGAGATCACTGAAGAAGGAGATTTTTCTTTTAGAGTGTACCAGAAAAAGACAGGAAAACCATGCAGGAAACCAGCCGTTACATCAATCACAAGAGAACGGGGGTTCTTGGCCTAAAAACACTTGGAGACATACTCAAGAGGAGATCAGAGCACCCATGGACATGTTTGATGTGCGATGAAGTTGATCTCTAAAATGAACAAAGAAGCATCTGCAATCGCCATGGCCTGAAATACCCATGCTCCTTACAGCACAATGTAATGCTATCATCTGGTAAGATGGAAACAAGCCAACCAGCAATTCAAGTCAGCCTCCTACCTTCCAATTTGCATTCAACAGCCTCTTCTCTTCCACGCGCTGCCGAACCTTCTCCTTCCAGCCATGGCCATCACTGACATGAAGGTCAGTATCGTAGCCTAAACTGTGAGAAACCCCACACCAAAGAAGCTCGTCATCTGCAAGACTTCTCCAGCTGTGACTAACCTGTAAATATGAGACATAACACAAAAATATATAGCCAGTCAAACTCATTACTTTCCAAGAACTGATCAATTTAACTACTAACTTTCTGGACAAAGTGCAATTGTTAATTTTTATTGTGACAGCTTATGCCAGTTTTAGTAACTGCATGTGGAATTTGGGGTAAATAACATGATAGGCACAGTCTTTTTTTGTACACCTAAAAATATTTACCCCAGGGAGGTGGGTGGCTGATCCCAGTGTTAAGTCAGATGCACTATGGTGACACCAAGAAACCGCGCTTTACAGAAGTAACCACTAGAAACTACATTTTATTGCCCAGCTTCAATAAGGATAGTGAAAGAAAATGTATCATCTGCTAAGTCTACTTCATCATTATCATCAGCATGAATATTCTTTGAATGGGTTGGCCCCTTTAATTTGTTTACAGGAGGATAGTGCTGCCTTATACTTAGTCACTGCCCGTAAGTGCATCTGAGGCTCTTACCGTCCCTTGAACCTTTCATCATCACACAAACATAGCCAACAAAGCTATGGCATCCTTAATGCTGCTAAGGACTGAAAGCAAAAATGTTTTTAAAAAAATGTTAATAGTCTAACGGGGGTCTAACGCCAGACCTTCCGATTGTTAGGTGGATGTGTTGAACTACACTAGAATATGGTGACAACAACCGAAAATAACACCAGTATTGTGCAGTGTAATTACTGTACAGTGTAACAGACACATGTATTGACTGTTGTGTGGTATAGAGCAGTGATTCCTAAACTGTGCGTTGCAGCGCCCCAGGAAGCCACGACCTCTTCACAGGGGCGCCATGAAATATTCGAAGATACACAAGTTTGTTTTTTTCTCTTACATTCAAATAGTCATACTTTTACTTAGGTTAGCGCACCATGGAAAAACTTTAATTGAAAAAAGGCACCGCATTAAGAAAGTTGGGGAAACACTGGTATTGAGGATAATTAAATTTAATCATCATGTCAGTGTCTTACTGATCACTGGGGATCCATTTCAAATCCCGTCGATGCTGATGGCTGGGTCAGATAGTCTTGCTCACAGCCAGAAGTACACATGTCCGTCAGCGGGTAGTGAAGATAACCCAACTCACGACCCATTTCAAAGTGATCTTTACTATTACTCCTCAAAACAAACTAAAATCTTGATAAATTTAACCAGTCTTCTTGCAATTTTGTATAAATGAAATGTAGACTAATGTTAAACCAGAAATATATTTCAGGGCAAAAAAATACACTGTTTACCTAAATACACTTGGCAAGGTGTTTAATCATACATAAATTGGTCAAACTAAATATGTCTAATGTTTACTGCCCTTTGACCTCTGAGAATACGGTTCTCAGGTTATCTAAAAGGAAAGTCAAAAACGTGTTTTTACACCCATGCAGTGATGGCCAAGAAACTCAATATAGCGCAAAGAAGTGTGCAGCAGTCTACGGCCAAACGGTGATATAAGCCCATAGCAGCAAAAGGGTTCAGGACGGATTGGCCTGGAAGCCAAGGTCATGTTTATTTATACATAATTTTTGTATATTTATACTTGTATTTGTATATTTATACTTCACATTTGTATATTTATACTTCACATTTGTATATTTATACTTGAATTTGTATATTTATACTTCACATTTGTATATTTATACTTCACATTTGTACATTTATACTTGTATTTGTATATTTATACTTCACATTTGTATATTTATACTTCACATTTGTATATTTATACTTGTATTTGTATATTTATACTTCACATTTATATATTTATACTTTATAATTATCTAATACTTTTTTTAAACTTCATAAATTCCTCACCTGAGAACAACTGCATAATGATTTCATGTCCAGATGTTGAAAGATTTTAATAGCGACTTCTCGTGGCAGAGTAGAATCAAAGAAGGGAATCTCATTGATTTCATCCTGAAATTATAAAGGCAAAGGTACAAGAATCAAAGAAGGGAATCTCATTGATTTCATCCTGAAATTATAAAGGAAAAGGTACAAGAATCAAAGAAGGGAATCTTATTGATTTCATCCTGAAATTATAAAGGCAAAGGTACAAGAATCAAAGAAGGGAATCTCATTGATTTCATCCTGAAATTATAAAGGAAAAGGTACAAGAATCAAAGAAGGGAATCTCATTGATTTCATCCTGAAATTATAAAGGCAAAGGTACAAGAATCAAAGAAGGGAATCTCATTGATTTCATCCTGAAATTATAAAGGCAAAGGTACAAGAATCAAAGAAGGGAATCTCATTGATTTCATCCTGAAATTATAAAGGCAAAGGTACAAGAATCAAAGAAGGGAATCTCATTGATTTCATCCTGAAATTATAAAGGAAAAGGTACAAAACAGTCTTAAATTATTCCATCTGCCCTATTTGTCGTTGTATAAGATGCACTTTTTCCTTCTCAAAACATACCTTAAAATGAGGCTGCATTTTATACAACAAAGGTAGATTTACAGGTACATGCAGACATACTGTCATGGTTTTTACAGTTAGTTAGTTTAATCGAGAGATTTATCTTCATTGCACCTCGGACAAATCCATAAGTGCTCGGATCCCATCTTCAGCATAGCCCTCAGCGTGTGGTGACTGATAACACCAGTTCTGTGTTAGTTTACTATTCTTCTTTGGCTATCTGTATAGTGTTCATGTATGGCGACGCCTATTTTGACCTGAAGCTTTTGTAGTCTTTTGAGTGTCGCCGATTTGACGTCACCCATTTTCTTCAAATCTATCCTGTCTCTTTTTTTACAGTTGCCCTTCCAAGATTTTGGATTGCTCCAGGTTAAAGGGATAACAATGCGACCTACGAATGAAACAAGAATGTCAGAGAATAGTATCATGTGCGCAATGATTGGCTCTGGACCCCAACCCCCCTCTCCCCCACAACTGTCTGTAAGTGGTAGTATTCAAATCCAGAGCAGTGTCTGCGTCAGCTCTTTTGTTTTTACTGGTAACATGCCCAAGAGAGGTAAGGGAGGAAGAGAGAGAGAGAGAGAGAGATATCATGTTCTTTAAATATGAGTTTTTCTGGAAAAATGTCTTTTACTTTTTGGGGTGTGACTTATACACCGACAACTAATGCATATTTGTTTTTTCTAAACTTGTGAATTATAAAACAACGAATACAAGAATTAAAATATTTAGTAAAGTAAAAAGAGTAGAGGACCCTGTTCTTGCGTTCGGCACATGGGGTATATATTGCTAGAGCTTTATTTTTGTACAGACTAATTTGCACACGATGGGTGTATGGTCATCATCACAACAGCCATTTTTACTTTCTAAAACATTGCCTGGTACCCATTTTAGCCTAGAGCAACCTGGGAGCCAAGGTCGCTTTTGAATACATTTACCTCAGTACAGATTTGGACTCTAGACCTTTGGGGCGGCAGGGGAGTATCAAGCCAATTAATATCCTTAATATCAAGGAAATAAATTAACTTCTTTTTTTTTTACCTTCTCATCCATGCATATATTGTTTCATCTGGGTAAATATTATTTTTTTCCTTCTTCGCTTTCACTGGCTGTAAACACCAACAGAAAGTTCTGGTTGTTCTTTTGGTCCCGCAGGTGAGCCTCAAGCCAATTAATATTTTGGTGAAAGAAAAACTGTCAAAGAAATAAATTTAACTCCTTTTTTTTTTTGTCCACTTGGTTTCTTTTTCTGTAACCTTCTCATCCATTCATATCTTGTTTTATTTGGGTAAAGATTCTTTTTCTTCTTTGCTTTCACTAGCTATTAACTCCAGCAGAAAGTTTTGGGTTTTTTTGTTGTCCACCTCTGGACTTTAGTCTTGTTCCAAAACCTGAATGTTGTGTGCAAATCTGTTTTACAGATCTGGCCTATTTGTATACAGACTGTTGGTTCCTTGATTCTCAGGCAGACTCACTCCAACTTCGAAGGATGTCCCCAATTAGTTGACTTCTACTACATGCTTGTTAGGGAGGCAGTGGGTCTAATCTTGTTTTCTTCACAATGGGGACCCACAACACCCATGGGGAGGTAAAGATTTGACATCACAGCATCCAGGAAAAGCCCATCTTAGCTCCATCTCCCTCCTCAACGGCCAGAGAAGAGTTTGCATACTGAGAGTACCTGTTGTCGTCTGGTTAACTACTCATCTTACCTTTTTCCTTGAGTCTCAAGTGGTGCCCAGAGCCCACATGACTCATAGAAGCATCATTCACTACAGGTATGGGTTTTCAATATTTTCCATTTTACTTATATTTACCTTGTCCCATTGGTGACCAACTCTACTTTGTGCTGTTTTAGTACACCACAAATTGGAACAGCCCAGCCAACCTATCTGCCTGTTTATTCCCAAATGTGCCAACATGGCCCAGGCAGAATATCCATGTTCACTCATCAATCCATTCTCTCTCTCACCCCCCAACAAACAACATGATCTCTCTCTCTCTCTCTATCTATCTCTTGTGTGTTTTCTTATCACAATCGAGGTCACTGCACACTGGGCATTCCCATGCGTGCTCAGTCTTCCAATGCAGCAGCCACTCCAAGGTACTAATTGTTGCCATGAGAAGTTGGTTACAATGTCTCCTATCTCGGCTTTGAAGGTGGCATAGATGTGCTTCACCATGCTTTACTCCCATGTCATGCAATCATGTTGGTATCAGAGATTCGTTATTATCCACTATCCCAGTCCGTACAGAGCTGACGATATCAACTCTGACCATACTTCTTCCCACATGTCTTGGTGCACTGTTTGCCAGCTGGTTCGCATGCTCTGAATGTTGAATTAAGAATCGACATCACATCACTCGGGACACTCCCATAAGTACACTGTCCCCATCTTCAGAAGCAAGCGAAGAGTTCCAATTCTGATGGTACCAGTAACCGTCTGATTGTATATCTGTCTCATCCTTCCCCTGAGTGTTGGCCAGATCCCCTGGTAACTTCTCGCAGCGCCATTCTCCTTAGACTGTAATGATCTATCTTGCTCGCTCATTACCCTCTACACTCGCATGACCAGGTGTGTAGATCCAGAAGAGGGAGGCTAAGTGCGATTTTTGAATGTGTTCTAGACATTCAGAGCACATACCGCCTGTTGCTATCCTATGAAACACGTTCAAGGAGTCTGATACAATTACTGCCTGTGAGGCTGTTTGCTCTGATAGCCATACTTGTGTTCAAGTGTTCTCCCAGGGGATTGTCAGTGAAAATGGAACTGTCACTGAAGTACAAAATGCATTAATATTTACTCTTGAGTACAAAGTGATAAAATAGGGCAGGTCTTGCAATATACAACAGTCATAGGCAAGTTGCCCCACGGTTTTTGCTGTCCTAAAGTTGTTGTTTTATCTCTAACCCCCTAGTTATGGCCCCTGGTAATTCACAGAGGGGTATTTATTCCCCCAGCCGACACGTGTAGCCATTATGCTGAGAAACTACCGACCCGGCTGCTTCTAGATACCAGCTAAGTGATTTTGTGTATCTGTGTAGTATTGTTTGATTTGTATGTGCTGATGAAGGCTCCATAGCCGCAACGTTCACGTTTTGTCTGTATTTGTTATACTGTCAAGCTTGCTAATATACTTTTCGTTTGGTTTTATATCTTTTCTTGATAGTGTTCTAGAAGCAGCGGCTATCTCTGTGGTGTGTGTGTGTGTGTGTGTGCCTGTGTATGACTGTGTGTGTGTGAGCACAGGCACATTTTCTAAAATGTTCTTGCTGATGAAATAACAGCTCTGGGTGCTTTTCTCCGTCGGCGTCATAATATTATGGCGGCCATAAAATATCCTAACAGGGCTCAGGCATATCTAAAATACAGACTTTCTGCCAAGGAACAAAATCACGGCAAAACTAGGATTACTTGACAATGTCAACATTGCACACAGTAGTACCAGACGATAAATACTGACCGTTGACAATTTTGAGCGTTTATGCAGACGATACTAGCAGACAATATTAGCGACCGTTGACAATTTCGAGACATTACATACGATGAAAGCGATATGGCGGGCAGACCACGCGCTCCCATGCAGATTAGCAATACTGTTCGTCCGATTGAGAATTTAGCAGCGAAAGATGTCAGACGTGCCGACCTGTATCCTCACACTTTTCGACATGCGCAAAACGCGATTAAACTTACCGCCGAGCGTATCCCCAGTGCCACTACGCGTAGCGCGGATGGGGGGCTAAACTAGGTGCCTGGGACTCACAAGCAAATTAGTTGGAGGAAGTTGCAGGAGATGCTGTAGCTGCTGCTCCTGAGTCCCATCCATCTAGTTTAGCCCCACTACGTGCCGCGCGTAGTTGCGCGGGGGATACGGTCGGCGGTGAGGCACAGTCACAGAAACAGGTCCGCAAGTAACATATTGCTGAGACCCTGTTAGAGCATTTGTTTTGTTATACGGAGCCGGCATATTTTTAATACAACTGAGCCCCATTCTGATATTTTTGGATATTTTATTGTCGCCATAATATTATGACGCCGTTCGGAGGAGAGCCGCTCTGGGTTTTTTTTTTACTCACCAAATCAGCAAGAAATAGATCCAACATATTTTTCCTAGCTCCGCCCTCTTCCTGTAACAGGACACTTCTGTTTTGTAAAACTCTCTGTCTCTTTTCAGCACTATCTGCTGATTCGTTATTAAAATATTTTCTTTTTGTGTATGAAAGTGAAGCTTGCTTTACGGCTGGTCTTGCCCTTCTGGGAACAAATCTCTTGGGTGCTTCGTTTAAAAACTGCGTAAGAATTTTAAACGGGTAATACTCTAATTCCGTGGACTCTGTAGTAGTAACAGCAGTAGTATTAGTGGCCCTGATAAACTTATTATCAACTTCGGCATCCTGGCTTGTTTCATCGTTACTTTCGTCGTGTATCCCATGAGCTAACAGACTGTTTGAACTGTGCTTATCAAGCTGTATATTTTCTTCTCCGCATCCTGGGCAAACTCCTCCTACTGTAGGTGGAGCTGCACCATCATCATCATAAGGATGAACTGAATGATCATTAACTATGTGTTGTAGCTCTTTCTTCCACTGCTCACGAAATGTTTCAAGATCGTTTGCCATAGCTGATTCGTTGTGATAAAATGTATATTATTTTATCTAATAAACATATTAATTTAAATGCAGCAAATCCGATCTACAGTTATATTTCTAGGAATATAAACAGACATGACATTGTAGAGTGATCTCCCTTGTTATGGCAACATCCGTTTACCACTATCATCTTGTGTGATTGTTATTAAAGTTTTTAGTTTTTTTTTTTTTTATAATGCTTGATTTTGATTTGATTTGATTCAAGAACAGACATCACAGCCCTCAGGGCATTCCCATAAGTGCTCCGTCCCCATCTTCAGCAGCCAGTGGAGCGTTCCGATACTAATGGTGCCAGTAGCATTCTGATTAAACGTCCGTCTTGCCTTTCCTCTGAGCCTCAAACATCTGCCAGAATCTCTTGTCACTCCCCCCCCCCCCCCCCCCCATTTTGCAACATTCTCACCAGGCTGTGGTGATCCATCTGCTCCTCCAAACTGTACACGCTCTCCCACAAGGCACTAACCACGTCTGCCTTATCATGTATCAGTATTCCACTAAGTTGTGCAGAGCCAGTCAGTCTGTCCGCCTGTTCATTTCCCAACACACCGGCATCACCCGGTGAAAAAATCCAGACAATACTCCTCACCCGTGTCCTCTGCAGCGAAGCATCCCACTCTGCACGAAGCATACCTGTTCTGATCTTCCTCAGCATGCTTTCTGAGTCAGTTACAATCACGATGTGTGTGTGTGTGTGTGTGTGTGTGTATGTATGTGTCGTGTTTTCTAGCCAGCAGAAAGTTGCAGTGACCGCCTCCACCTCCATTCTTAAGCTGGATGTTGTGGTATCATATGCCAGGTTCTCCTGCAACAAACGTCGTCCATTAACTTTTGCTATGAAGCCCCAAGCACTTCTTATGCCTCTGAGTGAGCATTATCTTGAATTAATTGCTTAATTTCCATCTCCGTGACACTTGCTGGCCAATCTCTGCATTCCCAGTTCAACATGATTACTCTACACAAGTCTGATTGTTCAGGTGGCACTTTGACCCACTCCTCTCCTCGCCTAATGTTCTCAAGGATGCAAACCTGTCTGATTTTGTCTTCTGCCTGAGCCATCTATGACCTCCCTCTTATCAGTCGCTGACCCTTAACTGCACCCAGAGCTTCGTGCAGAGGGTGGTCTGTGTATGCAGCTACCCTGAGATATGACTTCGCCTGCAGCACCTTGTGCCTACCTGCAACCGTCTGCAAACCAAGTATGTATCTGACTCTTTGTGACGGTAAGCAGTCCCAGGCCATAATCAACCACTGACAGGATAAAGTGCTGATATAGTGTTAAAAGCATTCTCTGATATATGTCAATTGCAGCCATAGTCTTAAGTGCACTATGTCCTTTTTGGCATCTCGTCACATGGTCCCTAAATGGCAGGCTCCTGTTAAATGTAATTCCCAGATACTTCAGTTTGCTCTCTCTGTTGACGTCTTTACCATCTATCGTGAGACTTGGGACATTAGCTTTAACGATTCTGTTGTCCACCATAAAACAGACGCCTTTTCCGGGTGGACGACAGCCCTCATTGCTGTACACCACTCAGTCACTTGGCCACTATTTATTGGCTGTTGTGGTTTCTCTAAGCAAGTTTACGTCCAGTAGTTTGCCATTGCCTCTGGACGGTCGGCTTCTTAATACCACTGTCGAAACCAACGCAAGGCCCGCAGCTGGAATCGAACCCAGCACCCCGGCATTACAACGCCTAAGCCACAGACACTGACTCTGTAGGCCTTAAATATAGATAGATAGGGGTGAACCTTGTGGAGGACCAGGATGTATTGTTGTTGGTTCAGAGGCCCAGCTGCCACACCTAAATACTACATTACGTTGTAGAAGGGCTGTAGAGATCAATCTGACGAGGAAAGGACTGATATGTAGCTCTAGTAGCTAAAATATTTTAAAGTCCAAGGGTACTCTGTTGTAAGCATTCTCGAGGCCAGTAGCAGCTGCACAGGTTTGAATGCCTGAATGGAATCCCACAGTTGTACCCTAATATACATATTTTACACGGTTTAACGGGGTTTCTGGAATCTGTCCTGTGTTTGATTCTCATCCTTGACATGTTAATCCTACACAAACTACGTTTTGGATGTGAACAATGACTACCAAACTAGAAGAGATTGTGCCAGAAATAAAGAAAGTCTACAGAATCTACTTCATTGCACCGGCTTTTATCCCACATGACTCGGTCTCTCTCTGCAGAACGGCTTTCTGCCAGGCGAGACGGTTGCATAAAGCACGGACTCTTTAGCTCCGGCGACGATCCTCAGGGATCTCAGTAAAAATTGCACTCGTGAATTGAAGGGCGCAGTCGTAAAACGAACCCACTACCTTGACTGACTTTCTACCCCACCAGGACATCACACAAGCGATAAACACCCGATGACACAATGTGCCACCATGTGGGTGAGGACACGCCCTTCTCTAATTATTTATAAAAATCTGGAGCTGGCCGTGGTGAGGATCACTGTGGAGAGGTCCCAGAAACCGCGTTCAGCCTTTAGGCCATATTTATGACCAGGCTATATTGCGGCCAGAGTAGGGCTTCAAATAACGAAAAATTTCATCCTAAAAAGGCGGAAAGTTAGAACGACTCCTACGACCTTTAGAGCACGGGGCAGCTTGACCACTTTGCCACAGAGACACCACAAGAAATAAAAGAGATTGGAATAACAGAATAATACCCATCGTTAAATTAATTGAGAAAGACATACTGAAATTGTTTGGCCATTTTGCGAGAATAAACCCAACATGTCGGCACCAAGAGGCAGACAGCGATATGTGTGAGGATGCAAGATGAACAAACAAAAGTCTCAAAAAGTGAACAACAAGTGTGAATGATAGACCATGTTGAAGAGCCATTGCAGCCAACCTTAACTCTGAAGACGACACCCCATTGATAGATTCATTGCAGGAGAATCAAGGGAAACCACTCTAATGTAACTCATAGGACAGGCAGAAGTCAACGAGTCAACATGTCACATGAAAACTATCATGGTGATGGTATTTCAACTATTTGAGCTAATTTGTAAACAAAATAAAATATTATGGACGACCCTAAGTTAAGTCCAATGTCCGGTCCAAGAGTGTGTGGCTGTAAAGGAATTCGTTCTTGTCGACTGTGTATGGCGACCAATGCTCAAGAAGTTTTTATAGTGAGTAAAAAAGATAAAAATGAAAGTAAACTTAAAAACTAATCCTCCCCCACCCAATGCCCAATGCTGTTGTTAACCAAGAATCTTCTCGTTTTTTTTTCCTGTCTCTTTTTCATTTTCCACAGATATTTCCAGTGTGACAATATCATCATTCATTATGTTCTAGTTTTCTTCTGTGTCTGTTGTTTCTCCTTTGTTGCATTTTTTTGCAAGTCTGTCTACTAACTCATTTCCTGGTATTTCGCAGTGAGCCTGGATCCATTGTGATTGGAGAACGATTTGATTGTTTTCTGAGTCTGTTTAGCTGGCCGGTTAGTTCTCTCTCCATGTTGTTTGGTGTACTGTATCCCTTTGAGTTGCCTGGAGGACTGGCATGCAGTCACACAGAAAAACAGTTTTGCTGTGTTTAATTTTTCGGTACTCCTGTCAAATCCGGACGAAGAATAAACAGCTTTGGACGACTTAGTCAGAGTTCTCTCCCTTTGCCACACTGCAAACAGTGATCGGAAAAGCCACAACGAAACAAAGAAGACAGTCACGTCGACATCAGGGCTGCCATTGCTTGGTTGTTTCCCCCATATCCGGGGTTTTTTCGACGCTGCAGGGCAATTCTGGGTGTTTTTTTGGGTGTGTTTTGTTTGTTGGCGTTTGCCGAATTATATGCTTTAATAATCGATAAATTTGCGTGGTTAGGGGGTAGGGGTTAGGGTTAGGGAGTAGGATTAGGGTTAGTGGTAGGGTTAGGTTTAGCGTTAGATTTGACAATTTTGACGCCGGAGTTCCCTATAATCGCGCACAGTCTCATACACACACACAAACAATCGAGGGCTTCTGGATGCTGGTCACACGCAAACTTCGCCAACGAATGGGGGCACCAGTCGCACGCTATTGGCGTCATATTTGGCAGAGTTTCAGTGGCGCCACTCCCACAAACATCATATTGTCGGCCAGTATTTCCAAATCCTACGTCAAAATTTTAACATCTAACCCTAACCCTACCCCTAACCCTAAACCTAACCCTAACCATAACCCTACCCCTAACCCTAACCCTACCCCTAACTCTAACCCAACAACCGCATGATGATGACTACACAACCATTTACAATGCCTCACGAAACCGTACGCAGCCCTACAAGCAACCGCAGGATGATAGGTAAGTGTGTCGTTTATTTCGTTTGTTTTCCGATTACTGTTCGGAGTGCGGCCAAGGGAGAGAACTCTGACTAACTCGTCCACGGCTGTTTATTCTTCGTCCGGATTTGACAGGAGAGCCAATTTTTCTTTCCTCAAGAACTTTGGTGGTATCAATAATTGCTTGCTGAATGCTGCTCTAGACTGAAGTTTGTTAAGAGTTTCCCAGAGGCGCTGTGGTGTTTTCAATGTGGTCCCATATTGCATTGTGCAACACCAAGCTCAACTCCTCAGTCACGCAATCATGTTAACCTCAAAGATTCAGCATTATCCCCCCCAACCTAGTCCATACAGCATTGATGATGTCAGCTCTGTTCATGCTTCTTCCCATTTCCATTGGTGCATTACTTGCCAGCTGGTCAGGTCTTTCATTACCATTTGCTCCTGCGTACCCAGATGTGTAGATCCAAATAATGGAGTTTAACTGTGTCTTATATCATCTCAATGTGAAATTAGCGAGAACTGTGTCAATATAGCCTTAGCTGGGTTTACTGTAGCCCCTGATTCCTCACACCGTGTGTTCAGTCTGTCAGGTTCCTGCAGTAGTGCTTTAGCTATCTCCTCTCTGACTGTATCCTGCGTATATGTCAGAACATCATCAGCAAAAAACAGAGCGTGCACCAGACCTATATTCTTGATGCATGTGATCCCTGTTGTGTAAACTAACTAGGTAGTGACTATAAAATATCTTTTGCAATAAATTGCTCTCATTTAATGTCAGAAAGAGGGTGCTAAATGTTACATAGAACCTATATAGCATAGCAGCGAAATTGTGGAATGTCAGTGAACAAATTAGGAAGAATTTGGAAGCAACAGAGATGTGGTTTCTGAGGATGAGTGACTATATATTTCAGACCCATTTCAGAAGCATGTATTTAATTTATTATATTTCAAACCCTAAAAAACATGAGCAGTGACTAAAGTAAAGTAAACTATACTGTAATGTATATTTCAGGCCCCCAGAATGACATTTAACTACTGCATCCACTGCAGTAAAGCATGGCAGGAGGAAAAGACATCCAAACAGGAGAAGTGTAGTGAAACCTCCACATCACAGTCACCGGAGAATGCTGCAGCTTTAGATAAGCCAGGGAACTGTGATATAAAGGCAGCTGATCTCAATGATGATGCAAGTAGTGATGAGACAACAGAAGTGAATGGTTTGCCTGAGGAATTGCAACAGTCTAACATACATCCAGAGGCTAGTCCCAGATTGGGCAGAGTTAACAGAGATGCATCCAGCTGCAGTCATAATGCAAGCAGTGAAGTTGAACCACAGGTAGAAAGTTTTCCTGGGGAATCCCAGCAGTTAAACACAAGTGTACATCCAGAGGCTGGACCCCGGTTGGGCGGGGTTAGCAGAGATGTGTTGAGCTGCATTCATAATGCAAGCAGTGAAGATGAACTACCAGTAGAAAGTTTTCCAGAGGAATCCCAGCAGTTGAACACAAGTGTACATCCAGAGGCTGGACCCAGGTTGGGCTGGGTTAGCAGAGATGTATCCAGCTGCAGTCATAATGCGAGTCATAAGATTGACTTTGAGGGAATTGTGATCATAGAGGATTTTGTGTCAGAGGCAGAAGAAGCTGACTTAGACAGAGCTATTGCTGGTACTCATTTTGTTAATTCACAGTCCGGACGCAGAAAACAGGTATATTGTAGTGCAAGTTTGGATATTTATGTATCATCATCAATCAGCAGATCATTTACAGAAAGTTGCTGTCATCACAACACGCCTGAAAGTTTCTCTTTGTCTAACCAGTTCTCCAGCCCTATGTGCTTCCGTAGTCAATGCAACTTCGGTGTCTTGTGTCCACCTTCATGGAGGTCTGCCTCTGCCTCGTTGTACCCAAAACTCTACCCTCCATTACCACACTCTCCAGGCCACTGTGACATTGAACAAGGCTAAAATACTTTCGGAACAGGATGCTGTTTATGAGCCAATTCTCAGTGCTCAGATCATACAGGATGTCAATTTTGTCTTCTTTTTGGTCCATGGTAATTATAAAAAATATTGTGTAGCATTTCAATGTTTAATTATGGACACTTTAATATCTCACTGAGAGTGTATTCATCATGAAGAGAGTAAGTACATCAGTGTTCATTCTGTTGTTTGCAGTTTCTTTAAACTGACTAGTTCTTTTTCTTATTTGGATTATTTTGTTATACTTTGATATCTTCATAGCAGTTCACTAGTTTCACTTCTCATGTATCTTGGCTTAACAGAACTGCAACTGCTTGTCTGTGCCCATCTGCTTTGTCTATACTGTATGTTTTCCTAATACCATTATGTTCTATGTCCCATACTAGTGGTGCCATTTGCAGCATTATTTGAATTCACTGCTTTTTCCCACCGCAGGTGACTCCCAGCTTCATCATTCTTTCCAGATTTTGATGCTCTGTTCTGTTCTTTTGCCCTGTTTACTTGATCCCAGAGAGTCTTCACCACGTCCACTTTAACGTGAGGTAGCTCACCATCCAGAGGGACCCCAATATTACAAGAATTGGGCTGTTCAACAACTCAGGGGACATAATGATGAAAATGGGGATAGTCGCAGGCCAGTGGCCCCAGCGTAGAAAGATAAATAATACAGTACAGTTGGCAATGATCTGCCAGACCTCTGGGCCACCAATTGAATAGCCTTGCCATAGGCGCTATATCCTCGACTCAGCAGCCAGTGAAGAGTAGTCACACCAGTGGTACCTGCCAGTTGAAATCTGATGATATGTATGTTTTGCCTTTTCTCTGGTGACTTCTATTTTCATCATTTTTTGCAGACCATAGTGATCTTTTCATCCTTCAGCTGTGTTCTCATGCTCCCAGAAGGATCAGGACAAGAGTTTCCCAGTACATGTTTTTTTAATTTTAGACACAGGGATTGTACTTGATTTAATTTCATTCTGTTCATGTTTATAGATTTTAAAAAAATTTTGTTATTTATAAATAAATAAATTTATTAGTGAACTGTAATGTTTTTTAAAAATGATTTTGCCTATAAATTCCCAATTACTTAATCATTTAGGAGACAAAGCTTGAGAATCTTAGTTATTGGAAAATCTGAAGGATTTCCATCAAACTGAGGCAGGTTGGCGACCCTGTTGAGTTTCAATTAGGAATTCACTTAAATTCAATATTTCAAACACATTTTTAAACATAGACGTCTGAATTTGGCCCTTATTTTTTGTTCTGTTTGTTTATTGATGAAATATTTTGTTACTTTTCAGGACTTTGGGCCAAAAGTCAACTTCAAGAAACAAAAAGTACGAACTGCCAACTTCACCGGTCTGCCTTCCTATAGTCAGTTTCTGTATCAGCGCATGAAAGCCCATCCACACCTCAGCGACTTCGAACCGGTCGAACTTTGCAACCTGGAGTACTGCCAGAGCCGAGGTGCCCACATTGATCCCCATCTTGATGATGACTGGTTATGGGGCGAGCGGTTGGTGACTCTGAACCTGCTGTCAGATTCTGTGTTGACTTTTACTTTGGACTCCGTGCCGGACATCGAAGTTAGGGTTCCTCTCCTACGACGCTCACTTATTGTGGTAGCTGCAGCTGCCAGGTACTCTTGGAAACACAGCATTTTGCCTGGGGATGTTGTGGGGAGAAGAATAGCGATGACTTTCAGAGAACTTTCCAAGGAATTCAGGTCTGGGGGTTCTAGGGGTCAGCAGGGGGTTGAACTTTTGAAGCTGGCTCTAACATTTAGTGGGTCTGCTGTAAGCAGTTGAGTAACGTTTTGTTGATGATTTCCTGTATACTTATATCTGGTGAGCAAGATGGAGAACAAAAAATGGTAACATTGCTGCCTATTAGACATGCCATGAGAGGTGTCTAAGGGTATTCTGGAACCTCATCCCATAGGAGGTGACTGTATGCTGGAACCTCTTCCCATAGGAGGTGACTATGGGTATGCTGGAACCTCATCCCATAGGAAGTGACTATGGGTATGCTGGAACCTTATCCCATAGGAGGTGACTATGTGTATGCTGGAACCTCTTCCCATAGGAGGTGACTATGTGTATGCTGGAACCTCTTCCCATAGGAGGTGACTATGTGTATGCTGGAACCTCTTTCCATAGAAGGTGACTATGTGTATGCTGGAACCTCATCCCATAAAAGGTGACTATGTGTATGCTGGAACCTCTTCCCATAGGAGGTGACTATGTGAATGCAGGAACCTTATCCCATAGGAGGTGACTATGTGTATGCTGGAACCTCTTCCCATAGGAGGTGACTATGTGTATGCTGGAACCTCATCCCATAGGAGGTGATTATGGGTTTGCTGGAACCACATCCCATAGAAGGTGACTATGTGTATGCTGGAACCTCATCCCATAGGAGGTGACTATGTGTATGCTGGAACCTCATCCCATAGGAGGTGTCCAAGGGTATGCAGGAACCTCATCCCATAGGAGGTGACTATGTGTATGCTGGAACCTCTTCCCATAGGAGATGACTATGTGTATGCTGGAACCTCATCCCATAGGAGGTGACTATGTGTATGCTGGAACCTCATCCCATAGGAGGTGTCCAAGGGTATGCAGGAACCTCATCCCATAGGAGGTGACTATGTGTATGCTGGAACCTCTTCCTATAGGAGGTGACTATGGGTATGCTGGAACCTCATCCCATAGGAGGTGACTATGTGTATGCTGGAACCTCATCCCATAGGAGGTGTCCAAGGGTATGCAGGAACCTCATCCCATAGGAGGTGACTATGTGTATGCTGCAACCTCATCCCATAGGAGGTGACTATGTGTATGCTGGAACCTCATCCCATAGGAGGTGACTATGTGTATGCTGGAACCTCATCCCATAGGAGGTGACAATGGGTATGCTGGAACCTCTTCCCATAGGAGGTGACAATGGGTATGCTGGAACCTCATCCCATAGGATTTGACAATGGGTATAATGGAACCTCATCCCATAGGAGGTGACTATGTGTATGCTGGAACCTCATCCCATAGGAGGTGACTATGGGTATGCTGGAACCTCATCCCATAGGAGGTGACTATAGGTATGCTGGAACCTCATCCCATAGGAGGTGGCTGTGGGTATGCTGGAACCTCATGCCATAAGAGGTGACTATAGGTATGCTGGAACCTCATCCCATAGGATTTGACAATGGGTATGCTGGAACCTCATCCCATAGGAGGTGACTATGTGTATGCTGGAACCTCTTCCCATAGGATTTGACAATGGGTATGCTGGAACCTCATCCCATAGGAGGTGACTATGGGTATGCTGGAACCTCATCCCATAGGAGGTGACTATGTGTATGCTGGAACCTCATCCCATAGGAGGTGACAATGGGTATGCTGGAACCTCTTCCCATAGGAGGTGACAATGGGTATGCTGGAACCTCATCCCATAGGATTTGACAATGGGTATAATGGAACCTCATCCCATAGGAGGTGACTATGTGTATGCTGGAACCTCATCCCATAGGAGGTGACTATGGGTATGCTGGAACCTCATCCCATAGGAGGTGACTATAGGTATGCTGGAACCTCATCCCATAGGAGGTGGCTGTGGGTATGCTGGAACCTCATGCCATAAGAGGTGACTATAGGTATGCTGGAACCTCATCCCATAGGATTTGACAATGGGTATAATGGAACCTCATCCCATAGGAGGTGACTATGTGTATGCTGGAACCTCTTCCCATAGGATTTGACAATGGGTATGCTGGAACCTCATCCCATAGGAGGTGACTATGGGTATGCTGGAACCTCATCCCATAGGAGGTGGCTGTGGGTATGCTGGAACCTCATGCCATAGGAGGTGAATATGGGTATGCTGGAACCTCATGCCATTAGAGGTGGCTGTGGGTATGCTGGAACCTTATGCAATAAGAGGTGGCTATGGGTATGCTGAAACCTCATGCCATAAGAGGTGGCTAAGGGTATGCTGGAACCTCATCCCATAGGATTTGACAACGGGTAAGACAGCCAGTAATGATGATGCCCCCCCCCCCCCCCCAACCCCCAAATGAATAAAAAATATGAATACACTGTAGAGTTCATTTACAGTTATTTATTGTCAGTGAAAATGGAACTGTCACTGAAGTACAAAATGCATTAATATTTAGTCTTGAGTACAAAGTGATAAAATAGGGCAGGTCTTGCAATATACAACAGTCATAGGCAAGTTGCCCCACGGTTTTTGCTGTCCTAAAGTTGTTGAGTTGCCTAATGTTGGTCACCCAGTACCATCCTTATAATGTTTGTTTGTTTGTTTATTGTAATGTCTTCTTTGTGTTCACCGGCTGTAAACTTCAGCAGAATGTTCTGGTTGTTTATCCATTTACTGCAGGCTTGTTCCAGAACGGGAGTTTTGCACGCACATTTGTTTTACAATGTGGCTTATCTGTATGCAGGCTGTTGGTTCCTTGCCTCTTGGGCAGATGCACTCTGATTTCGAAGGAAGCACCTAATTAGTCGACTCCTACGATATGTTTGTTGGGGGACCAGTGGGTCTGTACTTTTGTTTTTATTCCACAATGGTCCCAGGAACCAACGCAGGGGATTAAAAGGACCCTTTTCCACATCTTTGGGCATATAGGGCTAGACCTATATTTTATAGACCGACTACGCCGGCCGCCTCGACTTCCCAGGACTTCTGCCTGGTACCCACTCAAGGCTGGGTCGACCTGGCAGCCAGTCATTTTTGATTTAAAAAAAGTCTGGCTCCGTCTTGGCCTGAACCCACATCCTTTTAATCGGCAATCGAGCGTCTAGCCGCCACATCATGGCGTCTCCAAGATCTAAGAACCAAGAGCTCACTGTTGAAGATGACTGTAAACTTTTACTGATATATGATGCCAGGTATCATCTGGTGAGGGTGTTTTTTGCAAAAGCTCACAGAAGCCAGCTTCAGGCCTCAGAAGTGAGATATCTGAGAAAGTTCATCCAAGTGACAAAGTTTGTAACCAGACAATACGTCAAGATCTTGAAACCTAGGCCTTACAAACTCTAGTGGATCAGTCACAGTTACCATAGTCTGGTAGTCTTAGTTTCAGCTTCATAGCAAACGGGTCAACCCATCTTTGCTCCGCTCCTGTGCCAACGAAAAACACACACAATGTTTATCGCGGTCACCTGTGGAAAATTGACAGACTGTTGTCTCAGCATATCTAGCATACACACGCATTAAAGCATACGGCAGCCATCCGAAGTGCTAACACAACCAGTCTGACATTAGAAATGCAGTTCATCATTGATGGTAGCAGAAGTCACTAACAGATCAGCAGTTGCCCATGAGATCAATTTCAATCACATACGGGTACCACCAACATTTTGGTGACAGGCATCGCACCATTTTCTGAATCTACAATTTACACCACCACGTTGGTCACAGTCGAAAAAACATTCCAAATGAAATCCGCAGCTCACAGTGTCACGCCATGCATTCAACTCAGAAGCTGGGCGATGAAACTATATCCAGTCTGCAAACGGAGCAAAAATTCATCGGCCACCGCCGGGCAGAAGAAAAAATGTGCCCTGTCTCCAAACAGTGCCCCTGCCTAGCGTCAATTTTGACCGAAGTTACCCTGGTTTGGACATGTGTGGAGAATGGAAGAAATTCGGCCACCATGGGAGGCTAAGAAGATATGAATGCGGATGAAAGTCAAAATACCACTGACAACTCTAGGCTTATACATAACAACTGCCTTACTAAGAAGGTCATTCTTAGTTATCTTGAAAACTATATCCGATAGAACAAATCTGATTACATTTTTGGAATCAGCAACATAAATTACATAACAACAGCTATACAATTTAAGGCACTAAAATGTGTATACAGCAGTGTTATTCAAAGGAAGCTACTGGATTGTGTGGCTGGGCCATACCATAAGCTTGAGTTCTACATGACTCCCTAATCATTTGAGGCTGTTGCTTACGATTCTTCACCCTGTTTTATTTGTTGATAGACACACATTCCATTGAAAACACTGCACTGAAACATTCCATTGTATCTGTGCCTGTCTTTTGCCCCTTGTGGAGCTTCCTGGCCAGTTTGTTGTTAATCCTTTCATCCTGGTGACCAAGAAAAATTATACCCAAGCTCACGCACATTTTGTGTGTGTGTGGATATACAGGAGGGGGGGGGGGAGAATTCTTTAGAAAAACAACCATTTTGCATGTGTCACCTTCTCCCCCCCCCCCCCCCCCCTCTTTCCCCTACAAGAAATAGCACAAAATCATCTTCCAAAACAGGAACAGATACCACTAAAGAGTAAGGGGCATAATCAATAAACACAGAATCAAGTAGCTTACATCTTTTGGGGGCCAGTAATCTAATTATAGCATGACACTTACTTGACCTTGTGACCCGGTCGCCCAGTAACCACTAAAGCCAGTAGGAAAAATATAACCTTGGAAATTTTATTATAAAGCCATTTAAAAAAAAAAAGGGGGGGACTGCTTGCTATGTTTAGCAAATTTAGTCATTCCTAGTCACACTGAATGTTTTCGCAGACTCAATTTCTGTTAGCTGGACGTCTTGTAAACATGTCTCAACAGCAAGTGTTGTGTGACCTATCTGGGCAAAAGGGTTTAGTGAATTCTTCTTTTTTTCTACTCCTGGAATGCTTCGCGGCATCAAGGCAGGAAAGATCTCTGGAATTGGCCTTTTGTTCGCTTCATATAAAGTACTTTACAGTGTCTCTGATATTTCTGCGGTGTCGACCTTTGACTCTGTTACTATGGCCAGACCATTTGATTTGTTGTCTACCTATAAAGTTCAGTATTGGTTCTGTGCTGACTCTCCTCTTAATATCATCATACCTAAGTCGATATTTCCTTGTTACACCTGGCATAGTACGTAAACATTTAATTTCTGTTGTGACAATTTTCTTTCTGTCTTCTAAAGACAGTGTCCATGTTTGATACTGATTAAACAAATTCAGTTACTGAAATCGACTCGTCTGTTGTCACCTCTGGCATTTGTCAACTGCTACTGAGAACTCAAACATAATCTGTCTGGTTTGTCAGCCTGGTGAAAGCAAAGAATGGCCTAGGGTGCCGCCAGCAAGGTACGCTACTCCATGGACACAAGAAGCTGGATATCCCAGTCCTCATCTGTATGACTGACCGCCGACATTAACGCCGCCCCACTGAAGAATCTGTCTGTCTGGGTTGTTCTGCAGATCCTCACCCAATGCAGCCGGCCTCAGCTGGAAAGGACATAGAAAAAAAAGTTTTTAAAGAAAAAGTTAGTTGCATATCCTCTACAGACTTAAGCCCAGCATTTTTTGGCTGTTGCTGTATTTCTAGGCAAATGTGTACGTTCAGTAGTTTGCCCCTGCTTCTGAACGGATGGTGCTTGATATCACTCAAAACCAACACAAGATGGTCTGCTGCCAAACTGCCTGCAGCTCAGATAGAGTCTCAAATTGCTTAGCACGTTCGAAACACATAAGCCACAGACAGCACCTAAAATATAGTACTAAAGTGACAATATTTCAATGCTGGGGCCCAGGTCACTGGTCTGCAACGATTCCCATTTTCCAAAATTTTGGCCGCTGAGTCAATTTAGTTGAATAGCCCTGGCTTTAAATCTTTAAGTCCTAGGGGGTTTAGCATCACAGGCCCTGGGGGTAGTAAAGAAAGTAATAAAATCAGCGCATCTTGCGTTCATTGGGCTTCTAGGTAGGAATCTATGAACGTATGATGAGTTCCTTGGGACTCAAAAAGTTAACTTTCCTTCATGCCTGAATGGGTTGACCCAACTGAAGTGAAGCTAAAACCTCAACTAAGACTAAGACCGAAATCGCAGGACCATGTGACTAAACATAATCTTGAATATTAATTTAAAATTTATATACACACACTCACACAAACTTTAAAGTGAAAAGAATCGATTTCATTGCACTGGGTTTTATCCCACATTGCTTGGTCTCTCCACAGAACAGCTGATTACCTGCCATAAACATCGCACAAAGCACAAACCTCTTAGCTCCGGCGATGATCACCTGGGATCTTTGTAAAAATTGCACCTGTGAACTAAGCGATGCAGCCATTAAATGAAGCTATAGCTTTCACAGCACAAGACAAACGGTTCGGTCAGAGACCTCCCATTGTTTATGGAAGAATGTTTAAAAAAAAAAAAAAAACTGGTAAAAACAATGGAAAGATTTTTTTTAAAAGGGAAGGGGGATGTTGAATTAAGAACCGACATCACAGCACTCAGGACACCCCCCCATAAGCGCTCCATCCCCATCTTCAGCAGCAAGCGAAGAGTTCCAAAAGAATCCATACAACGAACACTGATGACAGAGGCTAAAGGTGCTGGACTAGATTATGTCCATGATTTTGAAGGGACTGCAATGGGGGAAATAAATGTGACACACATACAATGATTTCCGGTGTGGGTTCCAGGGTCGTTTTGTAGGGAAAACAAGAATAGACCCCCCTGCCTACCCAAAACCATGTGGTAAAAGTCGACTAACTGGGAGCTTCCAAGTGGGAGTGCATCTGCCCTGAGAGGCAAGGAACCAACAATCTGCATACAAATAAGCCAGATCTGTGAAATGGATGTGCACGCAACACTCAGGTTCGAAACAAGACTCAAGTTCAGAAATGAATGAACAACCAGAACTTTCCGCCAGCGTTTACAGCTGGTGAACACGAAGAAAAAGAAGAAGAACTATTGTTTGGCCATCTCTGTGCAACTAGTGTCAAACATGAACTGATGAACACAAAATCGGAGTTTACAGCCAGGGAACGCGAAGAAGCAGAAGAAGATACAATGATGAAGATGATTTAAGCAAAGTATCATGGCTGTGAGCCGACCAAAGGACTCGTGGTAAGTTCTTTGGTACCTGAAGATTTAATAGCAATATCTGTCAGGGGGTACCTTCCTCCCTGTAAACAACAAGCCAGTGTCAATGAAACATTCCATGGACGACTTACCTTCCGTTCTCTTTCCCTCTCTACTGCTTTACTTTCCCAGTCCTTTAGGTTTTTCTGTGCCTGTAGAGTGGAATCCGTCCCGCAGCCCCAGACCTGTACAGACACAAGAAAGGGTCTTACTGTTAACTCCTAGCTGCTAAGAGTAAAGTTGTGTGTCCTTTTCAAGGATATTTCAGAACCAACTCTCAGTGTTTTTGGGCTGTTTGTGATTTCATAAGGCAAAAGAAGTAGATAACTTCATGTTGTGATATCTCAATTGAAGGATAAAGACTTAACCAAGTCAATAAATTAAAATATGTGGGAACAATCATATCCTCGATGGAAAATATGTGACAGAGATTAAAAGCAGAATAGGTCAAGCGAAAGCTGCATTTCAGAAAATGAAAAATTTCTTAGGCAATAAATCGCACTCATTTAATGTCAGAAAGAGGTTGCTGAATTGTTACATAGAACCTGTTCTGCTGTATGGCAGCGAATCTTGGAATGTCACTGAACAAATTAAGAAGAATTTGGAAGCAACAGAGATGTGGTTTCTGAGACGAATGTTACGAATACCTTGGACAGCCAGAGTAACTAACAATGACTGCTTGAAAAAAGCTAATGAAAGTAGAACTCTATAAACAACAATAAGAAAGAGACAAACACTGTTCTTTGGCCACATAATGAGAAGAGAGACATTGGAAAACATTGTGACAACTGGAAAGATCAGTGGAAAAAGGCTAGAGGCAGACCAAGAGAAATGATGCTGGATGGGCTGAAACAATGGCATGGAGGGATACCATCAAGACAGCTGTTCCAGGCAACCAGGGATTGTGATCTGTGGAGACGAATGAGCGCCTATGCCGGTTGGCAGGGCACATGATGATGATGAGGCTCATCATCATCATTCTGAAACATTACGCGTTGTTGGGTCACCAGTTTCTGTTGACTGTCTGATCAGCTTTCTCCACCTTTGGCAGTCAGTTGCGATGGACTTCATGGTTGCATGCCTGAGGCCTGTCCAGTCAGTCCGGTTCTGTAACCAGGTCTTTCTTGGTCTGCCTCTTCTCCTCTTTCCCTCCACTGAGCCCTGCAGTATTGTTTTTGCAGTTTAGGCTAGCTGTCCTATTACTCAGTTCCTTTACTGCAATGGATTTTAATTTCTTATTCAGTTTACTGTCTTCAGTGAATGTTGCACCCAGATATTTAAACTCAGATGCCTGTTTAAGGACTTTGCACTCTATGGCTAATTTAGATTCTGCTTCTTTTTCCCTATCAAATTTAACAACATAAAATTTAAAAAGTCCATTGCATATCCTGTAAAGGATACCATAAACAAACCTTTTTGTGGTTTTTCTAGACACATTTGATATTTAGTAGTTTGCCATGGCTTTCTTAATGGTCAAAGCTCATTCCATTGCCAAAATCAATGATGCCAAATCGCCAGCAGCTCAATGAAACCGGGGATGTTTAAACTATGGAACTGCGTTCATGACTTCTACGCTATAAACCAGGGGTGTGCACATATGCCCACGAGCCAAAATTACTAAAAAATCTGGCCCCTGAGCTCATCAGATAGCAGAACACAAAATCATACACTTGAACGCAGAGATAAAAAAAAAAAACCATCCATATATCAACAATCAAAAAGTGATAACCTAAAGAATGATAACCAGAAATTGATCTAAATATTTGATACTACTAGTGAAACACGTGTCGCTGACAAACTCACACATTAGAAGCCAGTGTCTGTCATTGAGGAATATACAGAAGTGCTTCAGTGGGAGAGGGTATTTGATCAGAGGCATAGTGAGGGGTTATCATCTCTGATTATCCCCCCAAAATATTGTAGTGCAAGGAAATCTTGGGTGTTATGTCTACAATGGAATTTTCTTATATAGCCCATGACGATGGTAGTTCTAAATTTGGCATGTGCACCAAAAAATGGTTGCCCACCACTGCTACAAACACTGACAACATATAATGATAAAGATAAAAGAACAAAAGGATGACAAACCTCTATTCTGTGGATTGCATGTGGTACAGTGTAGTGAAGGACACTGTCAAAATCTGGGGATATGCGCAGGACCTCAGGTTTCCCATCGCATCCAATACTGATGCCCTTAGGAATACCTCTGATAGCTTCATTCCATCGCACCATTTTCTCACCAGCTGAAAAATAAAGATAAAGTTATTACAAGCTTTGGAAGTTTCACAATGCACTACTAGTCATTTACCACAGTGAGGGGGTAAAACAAAAGCAATAATGTGGCTAGAGACACAACACTTTTTCCATGCTTGCTTTCTAAGTGATTCCATGAGCATGCTTAAGAAGATAGAGACAGGATGGATCTGAAGAAAATGGTTGGAGTCACTGAGGACATTTTGTCTGAAAGGAATTAGTTCATTTTTGTGTTTATCAGGACACTCTAGGGTAAGAGGAAATGAACGAGCGGACTGGCTTGCTGGTGGAACCATAGTAGGTCAAGGAAAACCTATGGACCCGGCTGACATTCTCAATTCTCTCAAGGAAGCAGGATGAGTAGATGATCCAGGAGATAACGCTGAATCTGCAACACTCAAAAGACTCATCATCATCATCAGGTGCCTTGCCGGCTGGCGTGGGCGATCATGCCTCTCCATAATCTGCGATCTCCTGCAGCATGTATCAGTTTGTGTGCCGACACACCCCCATGCCATGCAACAAGGCTGTCAAGCATCTTCTCTCGTTGTCTTCCTCTATCCCTCCTTCCACATATCTTTCCAGTGGTCACAACATGTTCTATTTTCCCTCTTCTCATAACGTGGCCGAAAAAGACTATAAGAACTTCAGGTTAAAAGAGGTGTTGCCAAATATAAATACAAGAAGAAGCCAAAGAAGAACAGTAAACCAACACAGAATTGGTGTTAACAGTTGCCACGTGCTCAGTGATCTAAACGCTTATAGACTTGTCCGATATGCAATAAGGACAATGTGTCGATTAATTAACTAACTACGGTCCGATCCTGTGGTGGGAAGATCAGGAAAATAGTTTTCTTGTGACGTTCAGCGAGAGTCGCACCGTGGAAGAGATAAGAGCCTCATCATGAAATGTTCAACAGTCTAGCATTGGATACATTTTTGCCAACCTCCATGGTAGAGAAGCCATCATTTTATTTATTATACATTGCAGACATGATAACTCACTGGGGACCCAAGAAATGGTTCTTCTTATCAGAAATTCCTCTTATCCAGATAAGAGCTCTAGCAAGAAAAATTGCAGGTGACATACATACAAACTGGGTATTTATTTTTAATTCACCCTAAACACAGGAAGTCTAGAAGTTCCTGGTAAAGTCTAAATTTCTGGGTGAATTAGGGGTTGGAGTTGAGATCAGGTTCTTAGTCAGCCCTGACCACCTCAGAGATGGCGTGATGCTGATCACATCACACATCTTGTGCCGTCGGATCTATAAAAATATAGGTCTAGCCTAAAGGCGTGGAAAAGGGACCTTTACTTTACTGAGTGGCATATGGAGATCTCTAACTTGATACCATGTTTTAAAATTCCAGCAACTAACAATTAAAGTGTTTTTAGGAGAACAAGGATTCCGTCAAGTTGTTTACTCCCTTTCGCAAGTTAACATTCTCTTCTTGTCAGCGATTACTAGCTGTCGGAAAGTTCTGGTTGCCCATCCACTTCTGGACTTTGGTCTAGTTGCAGAACCTGACTGTTGCATGCAATCTGTTTTTCCACAGCTGGCAAATCTGTACGTTGACTGTTGGTTTCTTACCTCTCAGGCAGATGCAATCCAACTTCAAAGGAAACACCCCCAATAAGTCACCTTGTATGATATGCCCATATCGGCGTCTCCCGCTTAGATGCTGCGAACGCGATTCGTAATACCAGGGTGCTGGATTCAATCCCAGCTGCGGGCGATTTAGCAGCAAACCCTCTCGCATTGGTCTGAACACATACCGAGAATCAATCGCTCAGAAAGCAATGGCAAACTGCTGAACATAAAATTTGTCTAGAGAAGCCGAGAAATACTGGGGTTGGTTCTGCAACGTCCTGTAAAAGATACACAACTAACTTTTATTAGACGGGAAGAAGCTCCTCCCCCCCCCCCCCCAAAGGAACCCCGGAACTCATATAGGAATCCTCAACATTAAAAACTGCTGCTTTTATCTGGTGTAAACTCTACAGGGTGATGATAATCACTTATCATATAAGAGCTTATTCGAGCGAGTGAACAGTGCCGAGGCACAAACAGATCATTACGGTCTGAGGAGAATGGCGCTGCAGGGAGTTACCAGGGGATCTGGCTGATTCTCAACACTCAAAGGAAAGGCGAGACGGATATACAAATCAGATAATTACTCCATCAGAATTGGAACTCTTCGCTTGATGTTGAAGATGGGGATGGAGCGCTTGTGGGATTGTCCCATCATGTCGTTTCTTAATTCAACATTACAGCTTACTTCAGAAAATATACCTTGAACTACTTGGAAGGTGGGTAACAACTGGATCAGCATGCAGTTAGCACCCCCAAACTTGTTCAACCCTTCCCTGAATGCAGAAAAGATAAGAGTAGTTCCATGATGTTGCGTTAGCGTGTGATGTGTTAGTTCTATGATACTGTGTTAGTTCTATGATACTGTGTTAGACCTATGATACTGTTAGACCTATGATACTGTGTTAGATTGTGATGTGTTAGTCTTGTCTTTCACATATTTTAGGCGATGACAAAATAAGATGGAATACTCTGTTAGCTCCCTTACCACATCCCTTTCCCCTCTAAAATTGTCAGGCACTAAATTTCCCTCCCAGAGGATTCACAAACAAGCTGAGTGAGTTGAGACAAGAACTAACATCAAAGCACTCAGCACATTCTCTTACACACTCCATCCTCATCTTCAGCAGCCAGGAAAGAATTGCAATTCAGAGGAGTACCAGTCGTAGTTAGATTATGTCGGTCTTGCGTTTCCTCTCAGTGTAGAGTGTCTCCCTGGAACTCAGCTGGAACATGCTGACAAGGAAAAGCCTTTAACCCATACAGGAAACATTATCAACTGAAGCCTTATCACAGCCAATTTGTCTGTGCAGTGATCTTTATAATAATCTCTTCACGTGTCGGCACTATTCACTTGCTCCCAAAGGCCTCAACCACATCTAGCTCACCGTGCATCAAGTCACCATCCAGTGGTGAAACACCAGCCAATTTGTCTCCTGTTCATTTCCCAACACACCTGCATACCTTCCAGAAAATATCAAAAGGACACTAGCAACTGGGGACTTCTGAAGCAATGCTTGCCACTTTGATCAAAGCATTTCTTTCTCAGATGCACTGTCACGACTGAGTGTGCAGCTGGATCGCAGTCAGCGACGAGATGCTGGGACTTCCCCCAGCTCCATTCTCAAACTAGATGTGGTACCTTATCAGAGACTTTATTGTACAGAGTGTTGAATTAAGATTCAACACGACAGCACTCGGGTAACCCACCAAAAGTGCTCCATCACCATCTTCAGTAGCAAGCCAAGAGTTCCAATTCCGATAGCACCAGTAACTATCTGATTGTATATCCCTCTCGCCTTTCGTTGAGTGTTGGCCAGATCCCCTGGTAACTCCTCGCAGCGCCATTCTCCTCATATCGTAATGATCTTTCTGTGCCTCCGCACTGTTCACTCGCTCCTAAAGTGCCCTCACAAGATCTAGCTTGTCATACATCAGTTCAACACCAAGTGACATGACCTGGAGAAAATATCCAACTACTCTGGACCTCTGAAATGATGCTTGCCACTCTGCACGAAGCATGCCCGTCTCCACCTTTCTCAAAATGCTCTGTGAGTCAGTTACAATTACAGCATGTGTGTACGGATGGTTCTCAAGCCAGGAAAAGGCAGCAGTGATGCCTCCACCTCCATTCTCAAACTAGATATTGTGATATCATATGCTAGGCTTTGTTGTACTAAGTGACATCCAGCACAAGAAACAAACAGACTGTTGTTTAACTCTTACAGTCCCATGAATTTGTTACTTAAATCATATCCGTACCAATGAGCTGAACTTCAATGAAATCTTAAGCCTGAAGGAGTTCAATAGCCATACCATGAGACAGAAGTAAATACCTTTTTTCAGTCCAGAAGGCATATTGGGCATAAAGTGCTAGACCTATATTTTATAGACCAATCAGCACTCAGTGGGTGATGTGGTTAACATAATGCTGACCGCTTCTACTTCCCAGGACTTTACCTGGCACCCACTTAAGACTGGGAGCCAAGGTAATTTTTAAAGCAAGAATTCAGCTATGTTCAAATTTAAATGTGCGACCTTCGGGTTTGCAGGCGAGCATCTAACTGCTACAAGACTAGGGCTCCCATGGGACACAAGAAGTTAAACTAATAATTTAGGTATAGTGAGCTCATTTAACATTTCTGTAAGGCTGTTCTTAATGCCATCACTCCATATTTTCCTAGGTCTTCCATTTGATCTATACTCGTTGTAACATTTTAGTGTTGCTCACTGTGGCAGACAGTACCAGGGCATTCTTGTTAGGTGTCCAAACCACTTCATTTATTGTTCTTTGATGAGTAAGACTGGCTTTATTCCGAGCATTTGTCTGATTTCGTATTCTGTCTTTCCTTGAAACTCCTGCAGCTCTTCTAAGGCATTTCATCTCTGTTGTCACAATTTTACGTTCATTGAAGGATGTAAGTGTCCACGTTTGGCACTAATAGCATAGAGGTGGCCAAAAAATAGTTCTGATAAGATTAACTTTAGTGCTCCAGGCTATCTGCTTGTGTGTATCTCCTAATCACACTGTTTTATTTTTCAACTTTTTACAATATTAGTTAGTCTATCCTCTTGAGCCTAGGGCAGGCGCATAGGGCAGAAGTCATAGCTTCCCATGTCTGGCGATTCCTTGCCACCTGTTTGAGGTCCTTGATGTTCATTAGGCCCATGGTTGAGCCTTCCCTGATGATGGTTCTACACTGGGTCCCTCTTGGTCTTTCCTGTTTTCTTTTTCCTTTCGGTGTCCATATGAGAGCTTGATGGGGGTGTCTGGTCTTATCCATTCTGAGTGCACGGCCGATGTAGTTCCCGTGGCGCTTTCTTATAAAACTGGATATATTACCTTGCATGGTCTCTTGTCTTATCTGCGTACTGGATCTGAAATCTTTTACAATATTAAACAAAACAAATTTTCGAGGACTTTCCAAGCTTTCTCAAGATCTGTTGTGGTGATAACAGGGCAAAGAATGAAAGAAGAATTAACTTTAAAACAAAGAAATTACTCACAACCAACTTCTATCAACAGCAAGGCAATAGATGTTGCCTCCTTCAAAGGAAATTACTGTGACACTTGGAGCATTGTAAGCAGATACATGGTGCTTAAATCTGAAGAAAAACAAGTACACATCTATAGAAACACATCTATAGATACAAATATATAGAAACACATCTATAGATACACATCTATAGAAACAAATGTATCACTTATTCATTAAGCCACAGAGATGTGGTTTTACAGAAGAATGCTTAAAATACTTTGGACAGCCAAAAAGCGCAACCAAGAGGTTTTGAAAGAGGCTGGAGACCGAAGACAAATAATCACAGACATCTGAAGGAGACAGTCATCATTTTTCGGCCATATTATGAGAAGAGTTAAAATGGAACATGTTGTGACCACTGCAAAGATATGTGGAAGGAGGGATAGAGGAAGACAACGAGAGAAGATTCTTGACAGTCTTGTTGCATGGCATGGAGGTGTGTCGGCACATGAACTGATACATGCTGCAGAAGATCGCAGATTGTGGAGTGGCATGATCGCCCAACACCAATGGGCAAGGCACCTGATGATGATGATTCTTTAAGCTAGAACCGTCTGAGGTCTGAGGAGAATGGCGCAGCAGAAAGTTACCAGGGGATCTGGCCGATGCTCAACACTTAAGGCAAAAGCGAGATGGATATACGGACATGGTGCCATCGGAATTGGAAGTCTTCACTTGCTGCTTAAGATGAGGACGGAATGCTTAGAGGGGTGTCCCAAGTGCTGTGATGTTAATTCTTAATTCAACATTCATTTATTCATTAAGCTTGTACTGAATTCTATTTTTTATGTGAAGGCACTTTAATAGTTATGGTTTTACTAGGGCACATTTTCAGTTCCTCTGAATTTCAACTGGTGGAATGTGGGAAAAGTTCAGCGACCTGTGATATAATTTACAACAGTATAAAACTCACCTCTCTCTTAAAAATTGTTGAATGCTGAATAAAGAATCCACATCATAACACTAGGGACACTCCCATAAGTGCTTTGTCCACAATGGTACAAGCACTGACAGAAAGCAACGGTCAACTAGTGAATGTAAAATTGCCTAGTAAAACCACATAGCCAGCAAATTCTGGACATTGGCTTGCTAGTAACTTTTTTCCCCCAACCATTACAATATAGCAAAACAACTGTGTTCTTCATAAAAAAAAAGAAAGCAATTTGAAAAAAAAAACAATGCAAAAAATATAACCAAACAAAGAAAACCAAACCTAATAAAAGCTTATAATAATAACAACACATTGCTAGTAATGTTATTCACCCAAAGCACACCGTGACTGACCATTAATTCATACTTGCTGACCTTTCACATTCATGACTCTTTGTTACAGGGGTGTAAGGTTTTGTTGTCTTTGATGCTCTGAGATTTCTATATTGCGAGTCGTGTCATGGGTGGCTAGCCACACGTTGGCAACATTGTATATTATAGCCTACTCAATAAGGCCCTTTTTAGGGCCCACCGTAGAATGTTAACAGTTCTGAAACCACAGGACTCAGGCTGCAGTCCCTCATGGGACATAGGCTTAGGCTTTGGGGTGGAGAGGTTGAGGTTGAGGGCCGGTTGTAGATATTGCGGGGTCATTGAAAGCGGTCATATCCTGTGATATAGAACATGCAACATTGCTGATGGGACCTGATACCCCTGTAACAGAGAGTAGCACATTTGAAAGGTCAGCAGGCATGCACGTTCAGCCAATCACAGTGTGCCTGAGGCAGAAAACGTTATTTGTACCAGGCACATTTCACAAATACTGACCTGTTGATGGACATTCCATGTTCACTAGAACTGTAGAGAAGCTTCCACCTGTGCAAATGTGGCAGCGGCTCCTAGGGACAGAAACAATGAATCAATCCCAAAAAAGGAAGTAGTGATTATAGAAATCATCCTCATATAGTTCTTTGTCCCCGTGTGGGTTTCAGGGCCCCATTGTTGAGAAAACAAGAACTGACCCACTGCCTAACCAACAAGCATGTCATACGAGTCAACTAATTGTGGGGGGGGGGGGGGAGCCTTTGAAGCCGGAGTACATCTTATTGAGAGGCAAGGAACCAAGAGTCTGCATACAAATAAGCCAGATGTTTGAAACAGAAGTGTTATATTCAACAGTGTCTATGCTAAAGTTTTTGTATCCTAGAGCAATAAATGTTTGTCTCACAAAGCTGAAAAATACAGTTTTGGGAGAGGTGTTATAACAACAACCAGAAAATAAGGGGTTAACATTAGACATTAATGGGATAGAGAAAATAAATACGTGTACTATATATATATATATATATATATATATATATATATATATATATATAGTGTATCCAATGAACGCATGGTGAGATCCTTGGTAGTGAAAGAGTCATGGCTCACTGAAATAGCCATATAGCTAGTTCCCTTGCCACAAAACATTGGTTCTCAACCTGAAAGTCGTGACCAGTTGGGGGGGGGGGGGGTCGAATGACCATTTCACAAGGGGTGCCTAAGACCATTGGAAAACATATATTCACTGAAGCTACAAAGTAGCAATGAAAATAAATTTTATGGTTGGGGGTCACCACAACATGAGGAACTGTATTAAAGGGTCCGGTATTAGGAATGTTGAGAACCACTGCTATAACGGGTATTCATTCATTCATTGTCCTGTTATGCCATCATATGTCACATAGCCGCACAGTCTATTTCTCTCTTCTTTTTTGTCCTGTGCAATCAGTTCAAAATTATGGACAGAATCCAGTCCTGCAACTTTGGCCTCCCTTATCAATATTCATCTTAGGGTTTCTTTTGAGTGTCCCCGCGTAAATTATCCCTTTATATCCCATGTTAATGCCTGTACGATGATTCTCTGCTGGTTTCTTCTCAGGATGTGTCCAAAGTAGAGCCATCTTCTCTGTCTTATAACTGTTGATACTAGTGAGTGCCCAGACATTTGGCTTATTTCTTTACTCCTTTTGGATTCATTCCATTTTATTTTCATCCTTTTCCTCAGACATTTGTTATCTAATGCGTTTAACCTTCATTCCATTGTCCACAATGGGTATGCCAGAAATTTATTTCTGCCCACAATAGGGAAAAAACTGACCACCTGACTGAGAATCTGAACCCAGGTCTCCTAAATGAGTCCAGTATTTATACAGACTCACCAGATGCTGCCCTTATTTTTAAGCCACTTGGGCATCCAACATGGCCTAAGTGTTTCAGTTTCTGAGACACGATTGTGTTTATAATCTCCATTCAAATATAAGAAAAAAATCTGTTTCATTCATTAACAAAAGATTTAAGGTGGGTAGGGACCATGAAACTTGGAGCACAAATAAAAGAGATGAAGCCTTATTACAGGTTTTTGAAAACAGTCTTACGACCAATCTTTAAACCCATCAAAGATGCAAACAGTGGGAAATGGAGAGTGAGAAGCAACAACGAAATTCATGTTTAAATCACTACTGATCACTGAAATGGCTGTGGCAAATTGAAAGAATGTCAGATGACGGAGAAGTAAAAATTGTATACACAAGGGAGAGGAATAGTCGTAGACTACGAGGCAGACCAAGAAGACGATGATGGAGAGATAATATCCAATCAGACCTGCAAACACTTGGTGTCATCAACTGGAAAGAGAAGGCCAAACAGAGAGATGAATGGAGGCAGGGGATATTTGCAGCAATGAACCCCAAGGGACCAGAATGCTGAAGAAGAAGAAGAAGAGGGACCATGAAACATAGCTTGACCACCATCAAAAAAATTACCATTCTTTTCAAACCTGAGGAAGTCCCGAGGGTGGCTTTCTCTGCAGCACTGCTGGAAGGCAGTGCAGAGGCCGGGCCAGTATTGACAGTCAATGTTATATAGACCGGTGGTAATGCCATAGACAAGGCCCATAGGATGGGAGTGGTCATACACCCACTGCCGCTGACAACCTCTTCTAGCAGAGCTACCTGCGCCATGTCCTGAAATATCAGAAAGAAACAATAAAACAACAACAAAAATGAGGAAACAAATGCTGAGGTTTTTAAAAATAAGGATCTTCAGGAAATTGAGGTGCACTTTTAGAGGGACAAATATTATTTTTTTTTAAATTATGCTGTTTCCTTAATGGAGTTTGGCCCCAGTGGATATGTACCTCTACTGTTGTCGGGGAATATTAAGCAGTGGTCTGTTGCTCGCTGAATGGTTAAGAATGTAGGGCTCTCATGCAAGAGACCAAGGTTCAAATCCTTGGTAAGGCTAGGGATTTTTTTTTCTGGGACAAAAATAACATCCTAACCTGCACAGTCTGTGGCAACAGCACTGGCTATTTGGCCCTAAATCCTTAGTCTATATCCCTGCCTACACTGCAAAATTGGTAAACATAAGCAGTAACTGGAGTTTCTGGCCGAAGCCCTAATCTCTTTTACAGTGCGACTCTCGTATCACAGTTCAAAGTTAATAGAACATAAACCTGCTGGATAGCAGCTACCATAAACTTTTAGTTACATCTGCTGGAAGCAACTGAAGCTCGGTGGTTAAGCCTTTGGCTCTTTAATGACTTTCTCATTAACTGAGTTAGAAAGGAAGACATCCTCATAATTCTATTAAACTCTAGCCTAAGGGACTATAGGAAGAGAAGAAACTGGGAGTCTTGGTCAGTTTTTATAGAAATCCTGGGGGCTGGGTGGTCTTAAGGCAGAGCCTCCGCCTCGAGTGCTGGAGGTCCCGGCTTCAGGCTGGGATTTTTTCACGCGGACTTCTAGTAATTTCCACTGGTCTCTGGGTTGAAAGATCGGAAGCTGTGTGTATTATTGCCCACGTAAAGAATCCCTCGACAGTTACAAATTGAAAAGTAGCCTAACAGCGCTGCCTGGGCAAAACTTAAGAGTTAAAAATTTACCCAAAGTATTTCAATGGAGTTCGTGCACTGCGCTGAGATTCTTCAGACACATGCTTGAGTTAGAAGTAGAACGGAGCACTTATAAGTTACACCTGTGTGCCATGATGTTAATCCGTCGAATATATCATAAACAGACGCTTTTTCTTCATCATCATCCAGTGTCAAAATTGGAGTCAAAGTTGGTGGCAGCTGGTATCCGTTAGGTTATTTTGACTTAGGACAGTGGTAAGAGAGTTAAGACCTCTGCCAAAAACTGCAATTACTGCCAGTATTGGGCAGTAACATTAAATACCTTTATCTGGTGCTGGAAGAAAGGAAGCAATTACTAATTTAAAAAAAAACATTTAAGGAAACAATTACTAATAAAAAACAAACATTAAAGGAAACAATAAAAAAAACATTTAAGGAAACAATTACTAATTAAAAAAACATTTAAGGAAACAGTTACAAAGAAAAAACAAATATTTAAGGAAACAATAAAAAATAAAAAACAAACATTTAAGGACACAATTACTAATTTAAAAAAAAACATTTATTTACTGGTGCCTGTGCAGTACAGAAGGAATTCAATGGTATAATATCCTTTGGTGGATTCTGGGACTCACTGCGGAGGAGACTAGACTCACTGTGGAGGAGACTAGACCGACTGTGGAGGAGATTAGACTCACTGTGGAGGAGACTAGACTCCCTGTAGAGGAGACTAGACTCCCTGTGGAGGAGACTAGACTCCCTGTGGAGGAGACTAGACTCACTGTGGAGGAGACTAGACTCACTGTGGAGGAGACTAGACTCACTGTGGAGGAGACTAGACTCACTGTGAAGGAGACTAGACTCACTGTGGAGGAGACTAGACTCACTGTGGAGGAGACTAGACTCCCTGTGGAGGAGACTAGACTCACTGTGGAGGAGACTAGACTCACTGTGGAGGAGTGCATGGACAGGCAAGGGACCAACAGTTTGTATACAAATAAGCCAGATCTGTAAAATGGATGTGCATGCAAAACCCAAGTTCTGGAACAAGATCTAAAGTCCTAAAGTGGGCGAACGTCCACAACTTTTGGCCACAATTTAATCATGTCCTCCCCATGTGGGATGCAATTTTTTTTTTGTTATTTAAAGCCCCACCCTGGCTTTTGCCTCACGGCTGAAAGAGGTTTCTGGAACCTCTCCACGGGTGATCCTCATCTACATGGTGGCACTTTGTGTCACCGGGTATTTATCGCTTGTGTGATGTCCTGGTGGGGTACAACTACTTATCTGCCGCAATTTACAGCCGGTGAACACAAAAATACACAAGAAATGGTACGATAGAATCTCTAATGTGGAGCTTTGGCAGATAACTAAACATATTTTAGTGAACAAATGGTTCATTAAAAGATGCTGGTAGTGGATAGGACACACAGAGAAAACTTGACAGCAGTATAACTAGAACCGTCTTGTACTAGAACTAAAGAGATCAAAATAATTAAGGCTAAACTCCCAAAAATACATGGGAGTAGAGAGTTAAGGAATAAGGTGAAAAAGATGGGCAGGACATATGGTGAGCCACAAGCGACTTTTCGCAAGCTAGTTAACCTTTTTGCCACAAAATCAACTTCCCCTAGGGTCCTAGTCCTACTTCTGACTAGTCTATTACGTCTTGTTAATGAGCTGCATAGTTAATGCTATTGGTTGTTTTTGCAATTATGCAAATGTTTAGGTCAGGATATGAATACATTATTTAAAAATAGCATCTAGAAAAAAGCAGGGGGGGGGGGGGGGGGGTGCTTTGAAAAAAACTGATGTAAAATTTTCTCGTAAGCTTTAGTGATAGAGGTCACGGGGTCAGTGTATGAGACACCTGATAGATATTTTGGTTTAGGCCCCTAGGATTGTATTTCGTTGAATGCTTCACCTCGTTCGTGTTTAATGATTACTGATATATCGTTATATCATCATCATAAACCGCTTCTGTCGTTAAACGTCGCGGGGAGGAATAATTTGACATCCAGTGCAAGCTGGCTGCCACTGGCTCTTGTCATGCAGTGAAGACTATGGTCTGTCTTTAATGTTGTCGATCCATATTTTTCTCTTGTAGCTGATCTTTTGAGATGTAGTGCTTGTGATGGTATTTGATCTTGCTGCATTCTAACGAGATGGCCAAACCATCATTTGATCTGCTGTTTCTCAATGAATTTGGTACAAGGTGTTGTTCCCACAATTTGTCTGATAGTATCATTATTTACTCGATCTCTGATGGTTAGGTTGGTGGCTTTTCTCAGGCATCTTATCTGGCACATCTTTACATATTTCGATGAAGGGGAGGGGGGGGGGATACATATTTTTTAACACATTTATTTGTCACCTGCATAAATATTTTATTGTTTTATTCTAATGCATTTTTCTGGAATTCCAACGGAGTCATGACCCATGTATTTTTTGTGTTCTTAAGGCACGAGAGTTGGGGTTAGAGGCCTACGCTCGACTGCAGGAGGAAGAAGAAATACTTCCAGCAAAACCTACCATCTCCTGTGGCATGGTCGAGCCCGCTAGCACTTGCATGACCCAACTGTGGACTGAGTCAAACAGATGAGGACATGACTTCTTCAACCACCTGCTTAAGTCACTGACACTGACTTCCGTCTTACTACCAAACTGAAAGAGACAGAAAGTAAGAAAAAAATTTTTTTTAAAGAATTTGCACATTATCGGTAAAGTTTACTGTTTTTTTCCCTTGCCTGCCAGCCCAAAGGTCATGGGATCAAATCTGCACCAAAGCAGTTTTTTTTTTTCAAACTGGCTCTCTGGTCAACCCAGCTTAAAATATAAACCAAGTAAAGTTCTGGGAGGTAAAGGTGGCCACGTAATTATGAACACGTCACCCACCAAGTGCCGAACGTACTATAAAAATACAGAGCTATACCTATATATCTCATGTGTAATGGCTGTGAAAAAGTTCCTTTACTTTAGCTGCATATTTTATCTTCCTTCTGAATTTGTGATAGCTCTGTGACAGAGTGTTAATGCAAGTAATGCTATATTGTCTTGAATCATCATCATTATGTGCTGTGCTGATTAACACACAGACTGTCATGTTTCACCATCTCATATGATCACCAGAATCACAGACCAGGTCACTTTTCTTGCATCGCCGCATCGATGTGGCCAAGCCATCCAGGTATTTATATCTTTGCCTTCCACTTGCTCTCTGTCCACCTGTCTTGCCAGCTGTTATCATGTTCTGGAGTCCATTCCTCGTCTTAAAAACCTGCTATGAAAGAAATTACCTTAAACTAGACTAATTAACTGCATCATTAAAAGACAATCCACATTTTTGGGGCCTGTCATGAGAAAGGAGAACTGGAATATGCAATGACAAAGGCAAGTTGGAGAGGCAGGAGACAAAAAGGAGAGGAGATGTTAGTTAGTTTGGCATCATGGCACAAAGGGGCACAGAACAGACCGCTTTTGAAAGACACAAAAAGCAATGCTATGTTGCGTGGACTATAAGAATTTAGCTGTTTAGCACAAAGATGTTCACATAAAACTCACCTATAAGAGCCGCACTTGTCAGGAAAACCCTTCAAATGCTTGGAATCACACCCACTAGACTGACCACTAATTACAAAAAAACTAGCAGTTTAAAGTGTGAAAACTTACCAGGCCAGTAACCATAGCATCAAACATGGCTGCATCTTGTTTATCTTCTTGGTATAGAATTCTCGACACTGACAATGTCAGTAGAAAGGAAACTTCAAACATCGTCCTCGCATCTAGAAAGATACATTCAAGGGTGAGGTGATAAACTTTAGTAACAATCAATATTTTACAAAATATATTTTACATATGTAATATTTTTGCCTCAGAATTTTTTTTTTTTTTAGAAAACCAGTCATTTTGAAAGAATCTCCAAACACCAAAATGACTGGTTTTCTAAAAAAAAAAAAATTTAAATTTAAAATTTAAAATGGGTGTAGGATTTGTAGAAGCAACAACAAAATCTGTTTAAATCACTATTGATCATGACATCATGAGATCTAACAGACTGAAAGGGCTTGGGCATATTGAGAGAATGTCAAATGACAGAGAGGTAAAAACTGTATACACATGGCAGTTGAATGGTCGTAGATCACGAGGCAGACCAAGAAGATGATGGCGAAAAAATGTCGAGACAGACCTGCAAACACTTGGTGTCACCAACTGGAAAGAGAAGACAAAGAAAGGAAAGCAGTAATTCACCAGCTGACTCTTTATGCCAGTTCACTATTTTGTTGCCTGCCTTGATAAAATGCTCTTGTGTTACTCTGTGCGATACCTCAGATTTGCAGGGAATGTGTCACATCCGAAATAACTAAATTTAGGTTTCTCAGGGCATCAAGGTTTATCCGTGCTTTAACAGTACTATGCAACAAACTTATTTATTGTATGATATAATCAAACAGGGCGTAGCAGTGGTGTAGTGGTAGCAGGAGATCGGAAGGTCGTGGGTTCGGGTTTTGACGGAGCTGGGCTTTCTTCGTGGATGACCTAGGCTCACAGGTCGACCCAGCCTTGAGTGGGCACCAGGTGCAATCCTAGGAAGTAAAGGTGGCCGGCGTGATGCTGACCACATCACCCACCAAGTGCCGATTGGTCTATAAAATATATTTCTTAAATGATGAAGCAACAGAGGAAGTTGAAGAATGAATATACCTCGGAAGTAAAGTTACTCCAGATGAGGATTCTGAAAGGGATGTAACATCGAGAATAAACAAAGCAAATCAAGCATTTGCCATGATTAACAATATATGGAAGTCAAAGGGATTTAGTTTGAAGACAAAACTCATAATATACAAGAGCAATATTTTAGGAATACTATTATTCAACAGTGACTGTTAGAAAATGACAGCTGGAATTACACATAAACTTGAGACTTTTTAAAATAAATGTTTAAGGATAATTCTACAAATATTTTGGCCAAATAAGATCACAAATGAAGAACTGAGGAGGAAAACAGAATGTGCATCACTGGCAAATGTTATCAAAGTAAGACGATGGAGATGACTTGGACATGTTTGTAGAATGCCTTGTGACACTGACAAAAATAGCTCTCCGGTGGAAAGCATATGGGTAAAGGAAACCTGAAGAAGGACAGCAGAACAGGAAATGAAGGAATGTAAACTGACATGGGATGTCATGGGCAGAAAAGCAGCAGACCGGCAGGAATGGAGATCACTTGTGAATGCGTTATGTGTCAACAGTGACATGAAGAGGATATAGAGATAGATGATGACAATGAAAAAGATGATGATGAAAAGAAGAAATATGCATACACCATCCCTCTTGAGAATATCTTTTCACTCAGCAAAGATATAGAAGAAACAGCACTCACCATCCTTCTTGAGAACATCTCTTCCCTCGGCAAAGAAATGAAAGTAATGATTCACCAGCCGACGCTCATCAAAGTTGAATATTTCGTTGCCTGCCTTGATAAACTGCTCTTGTGTGATCCTCTCTCCCTCTGCACCTCCAAAATCCACCATGCATCTATACAACAGTTTTCCAAACAAGTGAAAGGCACCTTCAAATGCACTCTGAAAATTCAGTTCAAAATTACTTATAAAAGTGTCGTGTAACGAAGTCATTTTATGAGAAGAGGGAAACTGGAACACGCTGTGACCAATAGATTGATCTGTAGAAAGAGAGACAGATCACTCCAGTGGTCACAACATGTTCCAGCTTCCCTCTTCTTATAACATACATAACATATATAACTTAGCCTCCCCGTATGGGTTCTGGGACCCTATTATGGGGAAAACAAATAGAAACAGTGCCTACCCAAAAGCATGTCGTAAGAGTCGACTAATTGGGAGCTTCCTTCGAAGTCCGAGTGCATCTGCCTGAGAGGCATAGAACCAACAATCTGCACGTAAATGAGTAAGATATGTCAAACGAATGCACAGGCTACATTCAGGTTCTGAAACAAGACTGCAGTCCAAAAGTGGACGAACAACTAGAACATTTTTTATGGAGTTTACAGAAAGATGAAAAGATAACTTAACCCTTGACCTATTAGGGTCGTGTAGGTGAACTGATGGAAGCACTAGCACATAAAACCCACCATCTTTCTCTGACTTCTGCTTGATGAATAAGTGAATGATAACTTAGTCCTGTCCATTTCTTGATGTTGTCATTCCAGATCTTCTTTGCCCTCCTCTTCTTCGACTAACCCCCAATGATTAAAACAAAAGATGACATGCCTCTTCCTGATGTCTGTGATAAGTTGTCTTCCGGCTCTCACCTCTTTCAAAACATCTGGGTTTCTATTTTTTTTTTAAGCTGTCCAAGGAATTTTAAGGATTTTTTTTTTGTAAAACCACATCTCCTCAATATATTTTTTGGCTTGTTTATTAATTGTCCAGTATTCACAGCCGTATGTTACCTTCTTTACCTACAGTATTACAAAATGAGGAACAGCTGGTCGGGTGGTTACAGTGCTGGACTCGGTGCTTTATTAATATCCTACCCCCAGATGATGTCACAGGACAGTCTAACATTGAAGAGGGTAGTAAGACTGGGTTTCCTGGCTTTCTGACGCTTTTAACGACCCCAAACATTTAGAACTGGCACGAACCACAACCCAACTACGTCCCACGAGAGAGTGCAGCCTAGGTCCCACGACTGCATGCAACCTATCTACCACCTTCTGAAATATTATACTGTCCCGTGGCCTGTGGATTTCCCCTGTTTGGGGTAGGATATTAATAAAGCACCCTGGACTCTCATGCAGGAGACCCAGGTTCAATCCTCAATTAAGGATGGAGATTTTATTCTCTCTGAATCCTAGCCTGCACAATTCGTGATGTCTGCGTTTCATACCACCCCAAAAAATAGTGTGCTCTGTGTCATAGAGGTTAGTGGGTGCAGTTAACAACTATATGATCTTTGAGTGCTAGGTTTCGTTTTCACGTGGTGGATGGTTTTTAGACTGTGGTAAGAGAGTCACAACATGGAAGAGATTGTGGCCTCGCCCCATAATATTTCCAACCCCACCGTTTTTGTAAAAAAGTACACAAAACAACAACAACAGGTGGTAAATCTTGCAATCTAAAGATACCTCAAATGTTGTCCTCCAGAGTTCACAAGAAACGTCACTTCCCCTGTCCTCTGTTAGTTTGAATTTCTGAAAGGTATAAACACATTTTTAAAAGCTACATGACTTAGCTTAATTGCCACAAGTGATGTCATAAACAAAATCATTGTTACTTTCGGTAACACATAGGGAAAACAGGGACAGCAGAGCTGCTAGATTAATCAGATTATTCTACTATAAGTTAGGTAGTTAGGTAGGTAATTAGTTAGGTATTAGTTAGTTACGTAGGTAGTTAAATAGGTAATTAGTTAGGTATTAGTTAGATAGTTAGGTAGGTAGTTAGATAGGTAATTAGTTAGGTATTAGTTAGATAGTTAGGTAGGTAGTTAGATAGGTAATTAGTTAGGTATTAGTTAGATAGTTAGGTAGGTAGTTAGATAGGTAATTAGTAAGGTATTAGTTAGATAGTTACGTAGGTAGTTAGATAGGTAATTAGTTAGGTATTAGTTAGTTAGTTAGGTAGTTAGATAGGTAATTAGTTAGGTATTAGTTAGGTAGGTAGTTAGGTAGGTAGTTAGATAGGTAATTAGTTAGGTATTAGTTAGATAGTTAGGTAGGTAGTTAGATAGGTAATTAGTTAGGTATTAGTTAGATAGTTAGGTAGGTAGTTAGATAGGTAATTAGTTAGGTATTAGTTAGATAGGTAGGTAGTTAGATAGGTAATTAGTTAGGTATTAGTTAGATAGTTAGGTAGGTAGATAGGTAATTAGTTAGGTATTAGTTAGATAGTTAGGTAGGTAGTTAGATAGGTAATTAGTTAGGTATTAGTTAGATAGTTAGGTAATTAGTTAGGCATTAGTTAGATAGTTAGGTAGGTAGTTAGATAGGTAATTAGATAGGTAATTAGTTAGGTATTAGTTAGATAGGTAGGTAGTTAGAATTTGTTACACTTAGTCTTAGAAGTTTATTTTTTCCAACTTCTTTTCTATCAATTTATTACTATTATTATTATCTGAGCAGATTTTCAAATTCTGTTCAGTGACTAACATACAAAATGAACATGATTTTAGAATTCGATTACTTAATTGAAAAGCTCACACATAATTGAAAGAATTTCTTTGGCTAAAAATGATTCTTACTTCAAACAATTTTACCAAAGAACCAGTCTGATCCTTTATGATAACAACCCCTCCCTTCCTGCTCAAGTTTGCAGCTTCATCTTTCCTGTCGTTGCTATGCTTTTCCGTATCAGTCTGAGAGCCAGTATTTCCCATTGCAAAAAACTTAAATCCTTTCCAACTGTTTAAAATATTTACACTGTCATTGGCTTCTATCGCGAAAGTAACCAAACAACAGTGACTGGTTTTTAATCACTTTAAACAACACATAAAACAACAGTCAACAGAGTCCGCTACATTTGTTTATACGCGCAACCATCTTGGATTTGATGTAACCGGAAACTGATTCACGCATGCGCAATAGAATAAACGACTGCAAATTCTGTATCCCTCCTCCAACTCAAACCACAGTTCAACAGCCAGATTCAAAAATATACGCACATTTTTTCAAAAATTACACCAACTGCGTTTATTCCTAACATAATTTAATATACTGGGCTTGTATATTTTGGAATTTCTGGGTTGAAAGGATGTTTTGTTATCGCGTATAGATTGGCAAGAGTTGGTTGTTAGGTACAGGAGAGGAACCCCGGAAAAGTGATGTCTGGCGCAGGCGACTCAAAGTACATTCGGTTACTTGATCCCTAGCAGTCGTTATTATGCCTTGCTTGGATCACAAACATGCCCAAGTGTGAGCTTTCCACGAAGATTATACCCGCAACATGTGCCTGGTCCCTGATCATCGTGTGTACCGCTCTGTACTTCGCGTTTGTGTAAGTCCACCTGCTTAGCTTTGGTTATGGCGAGGTCTTGCTCTTGATACTACTACTACTGTTTATTTTATATGTTTACTAGTTTACTACCTGTTTGTGAGTGAAATATGGGTCAGGGGTTGAAATAGAACTGTCAGAAACTTATGGTAAAGTTAACTTATTAGATAGAGTGGGATAAGAACATGTCTGGGTTGAGGATGCACACAACAAACTCGAGACACCTTTAACTCTTAACTTAAAGATGATGATTTGATTCCTTTGACAGTATCATTATCTCTTAAACTTCCACCCGAATTAGTTAAGTTTGCTTCTTTTGGACTGCTTTGCATTGATTTCAACAGTGCAATAAGAATGGAAAAAATAATAGCAGAAGGCACGGAAGCAGGGCCGACAAACATGAAGATGGGCACAGGATGTAAGTGACTCCTTGAGTATGAAAAAATACATGAGGCGGGAGAACTGGCGAGAGACTAAGTTTCGTTCAGACAGATCTGTGTTCTGCAAAAGACCTGCTACAGGATGATGAATAACAATGGTACCAAGTATCGACCGTGACAGCAAATTACTGAATGTAAAAAACCTGGTTAAAACAAATGGCTAACACCAACAAATGCTGCCAGTGCTTTGCAGTGTCGTGTAATGAATATGCAAATAACTTTACTTAATTTAAAGATTTGTCCCAACTTTGTGTTTACTCACTCCTACTAAATATGTCAGTCATCGGTTTCCGGTTAAAATGGACGCTAGACAGCGGCACCGTTCGGAACAGAGGCAAATTGTTTGCTTCTGCCGGACGGTGGCCAATGCATTTTTGCTCCATTTGTAGACTGGATATAGTTTCGTCGCCCAGCTTCTGAGTTGAATGCATGGCGTGACCCTGTGAGCTGCGGATTGCATTTGGAATGTTTTTTTCGACTGTGACCAACGTGGTGGTGTGAATTGTAGATTCAGAAAATGGCGCGATGCCTGTCGTTCAATGCTGGCGGGACCCGTATTGAAATTGATCACGCGGGCAACTGCTGATCTGTTGACGACAAGTTCTGCTATCATCAATGATGAACTGCATTTCTAATGTTGGACTGTTTGTGTTAGCACTTCGGATGGCTACCATATGCTTTAATGTGAGTGTATGCTAGATATGCTGAGACAGCAGTCTGTCAATCTTTCCACAAGGGACTGTGATAGACATTCTGAGTGTTTTTCGCTGGCACAGGAGCGGAGCAAAGATGAGGCGACCCGTTTGCTATGAAGCTGAAACTAAGACTACCAGACTACCATGTCAGTCATCATCATTATATGCCGTGCTGGTAAGCATAGGCCAGGGCTATTCAACTGGCGGCCCACAGGCTAAATCTGGCCCGCGGAGGTCTAGCACATGGCCTGCAGATCATTGCCAGTTACATTGTATTAATGATCTTTTTGTGCTGGGGCTCGGGTCTATGGCCAGTGACGATCCCAATTTTCCTAATTTTGGCCCCTGTGTAAACATGGTTGAATAGCCCTGACATAGGCTATCGCACACAGTCATCAGAATTTGTGATCTTCTTTCTTTTTGTTGTCTTACTGACACCGGGTTGTGGCCCATTGTCATGGTTTTCTGTATTTGTTTTGTGCATCATGGGTGGCTTGTGTGACACCATTTATCCTTTTCTTTCTTTGTCTTCCCCTCACCTTCCTTTGCTGTAAAAAGTCTCAAATGCAGTTTGGTCTGGCTGCATTCTCACTAGATGGTCGAACCGTTTCATTCTTTGTCTGTCAATGTAGTCCAGTCATGGTCTTATTCCATCTTTCTCTCTAATGCATGTATTTGTAACTCTCCCTTCTTGTGTTGTTAGTGACCTTGCTGAGGCAGCAAATTTCACATGCAGTTATTGGGGCTAACTGGCAGGTGACAGCATTTGCCTTCTGTACTTTGGCTTCTATCCCTGTGTCAAGTCTGCCATCCTCTGTAATTATGCTTCCCAGATATTTGAATTCTCATACTTGTTTGATTGTAGTACCGCTAACATGAGCTTTTATGTTATTGTACTATTTTCATTACCTCAGTTTTTGCAGTGTCTATTCTCATATCATACTTTGTGCAGTGTTATGTAAGGAGTCCATATGGTGTTGTAAATCCTGTTTTTGGTGGTGTATTAGACATTGATCATCCTTAAAAAGAAGTTAAAATGATTTCTTTAATGTCTACAGTTGCCTTCTTTGTAATTCTTTCCATGTCAGTAATGAAAAGCAATGGTGAGAGGAGACATCCCTGTCTGACACCTGATGAGATGGATTTAGGATTAGGTCACCGTGTAAACTGCTATATACAAATCTTGGCTCACAGCATGTGGTAATGCTGACAGAAGCTAAATCCGTACTTGAAGCACTCCAGTCTAGGAAACTATCAGAACTGCAAACACTGCTGACACAACTCCGCTTTCAGTGAAGAGTCGTAATGCAGTGGATACCATCTCATTGTGGAGGGCCTGGAAATGAGAAAGCTGATCAACTGGCAGGGGAAGGTGCAATAAAAGTGCAGCCAGATGTACCAGTCACATACCACTAAAAGAAAAGAATAATTAAATCGATCAGGAAACCACCAGCCCCAGCACAAGACAACTATTTCATTATGGACAGACCAGAACAAGTCATTATCTTCCGCCTCAGAACAGGGCACAAACCGATTATTTAACCACATATACACAAAATTCAAGATAGGCGTATCAGCCATGTGCACCTGCCTATGGAAAGGTGCCCCAGACAGAGGAGCATGTACTCCAGGACTGCACCGAATTTGACACATTAAGGCAAACCTTTTGGCCAGAAAAAACAACAGTAGAATGTAAACTCCATGGACCACTGAATGAACCAACAACAACAGTGAAATTTATACAAGAGACAAAATTGCTGACATAGACAACTTTTTTCAGGCGAACGAAAGAAGAAAAAGGTCACTGTTTTTGTCTCGCCCCATCTGTCTGGCCAAGCCATCCAGATGTTTATCTCTTTGCCTTCCTCTTGCTCTGTTTCCATCAATCTTGCCATTTGTTACCAAGTTCTGGAGTCCATTCTTTCTCATAACATGTCCAAAAGTACACTGACTGTCTACATCTAATTGTTCTAATAAAATTATGACTTTCGTCATCTTGATAAGGACTGTTTCATTTGGTTTTTCATCTGGAAAACTACCTGGTATACGAACACTACTCTCCAAACTTGGGAGCCAGTGTAAGGTAACTATGCAGAAGAGAAATTGGCAAGAGGACGAAAATGGCTGTTTACCACTCTGCCTTTGTACCAGTCCTGACATACGGGCGTGAGTCATGGGCAATGACAGCAACTAACAGAAGTCAGCTTCAGAAATGAGATATCTGAGAAAGATGGTCCAAGTGACAAGAAGAGACAAATTTACAATCAGACAATATGTCAAGACCTTGTAATCCAGGCTTTACAAACTTGAGAGGATCAGTCATAGTTACTGTGGTTTGTCATGTACGCAGAATGAAAAAAATCAGCCACCATGGCAGCCATGTAAGGCCAAGAACCAGGGAACCAGAACAACAAACGACCCAGGGTCCGCTAGGAAGACAACATCTGACAGTCCCTAACTGAAAGAGGAGTAGAATGGAACAATGCCAAACTGCAGATAGAGACATCTGGTGACCTCTCTGGTGAACTTCTATGCCCCAAGTTAGAGTAAAGTAAGCAATAATAATTTCCTAATGAGTAACAAGATTGGTCATATATAATCAGATGTTTTTGTTGATTTCTCAGCTGTCGGTACCTGACAGATGAGTACAACTATGCCTTCCCAGTTGGCCAGGGAGTCATCACCATCTTCATGATGCTCAATTTGTGCCTGTCGACTTTCATGGATCCTGGAATATTCCCCAGAGGTGAGATAAACTGGCATATTTTAGTCTTTTAACTTGTTCAGGCAGAAAAGAAATTCCGATGGTTTTAAAGAGGTGAGAGCCTGAAGACAATTTATCAGAATAAGACCGTCATTAATTATTCTGGCCATGAGAAGGGGTTTTGAGTTAAGTTGATTCAAGAATCGATATCACAGCAGTTGGGGCATTCCTGTAAGCGCTCCATCCTCATCTTCAGCAGCCAGTGAAGAGTTCCTATACTAATGGTGCCAGAGCATTCTGATTAAACGTCCGTCTAGCCTTTCCTCTGAGCCTCGAGCATCTACCAGAACCTCTCGTCACTCCCAGCTGCATCAGTCTCACCAGACTGGTGATCCATCTGCTCCCCTGAACTGTACACGCTCTCCCACAAGGCACTTACCATGTCTGCCTTATGAATCAGTATTCCACCAAGTTGTGCAGAGCCAGCCAGTCTGTCTGCCTGTTCATTTCCCAACACACCAGCGTACTCGGTGAAAAAATCCAAACAATACTCCTCACTGTGTCCTCAGCAGTGAAGCATGCCACTCTGCACAAAGCATGTCTGTCCTGACCTTCCTCAGCATGCCTTCTGAGTCGGTCACAATCACGATGTGTGTGTGTGTGTGTCATGTTCTCATGAGAAGGGGAAAATTGAAACATGTGACCACTGGAAATATTTGTGTTAAGAGAGGCAGGGGAAGAATAGATTCTTGCTGGCAAGGAAAACAGCAGAAGAAGATCCTTTGTGACCTTATGACATAGAAGGGTTTCAGCACATGAGCTGATGAATGCTGTTGGAGCAGGCCGTCAGTTTGTGGAGATGTGTGGTCGCCCACACTAATCGACAAGGCACTTGATGATGACAAACTCTTTCAGCAGTCCTTGGCAGACATGAATTTTAACCCATTATACAATGACAAGTCACCTGAAATGTTTGAATGTTAAGGCTTTTGAGCTGCGGTGGCATTCTTCTTCTGCTTCTTCTGCCTTTCTGCCCCCCATTGGAGCATAGGCCCTCAACCAACTCACACCAAGTCGTTCTATCCTTCGCCATTGCAAGGAGCTCTCCCTATGTCCTTCCCCATCTTTCTTACTTCATTCTCCAGCTCTCTTCTCCGTGTTTTTTGGCCTTCCTTTATTCCTATGCCCCTGTGGGTTCCAATGCAAAGACATTCTGGTTATGCTGTTCTCCTGTTTTCAAACGATCCGGACTCCTTGCGGCTTTCTCCACACCGTGTCATACTTTTCTATTTGAAGAGCCTCCCCCTCATCTTGGTTGGCTAGGATTTACTTGCTTCTCTTTTTGACTTATCCATGGTTGGTTGGTTTTTGTGGCTATGGTTTTTACAGGATGAGGTAGCCAACCTCAAGCTCAACCCTATCCTTAGTCGCCTCTTACGGCATGCCCGGTAGGGTGCAGCGTCACTATTCTTTGCTTCCCGTGAGGGCCTCGGTGACACACGGGCGGCTGCAGTGGCATTAGTCCTCAACTAACTCATGACTAGTCATCCTATCCTTTGCTGTTGCATACAGCCCACCCCGTCATCTTTTTTTAAAAATCTCATTCCTTAATTCCCTTTCACATGTGTTTTTTGCTGTGTCTGTTGCATTGACCCTCTGGGTTCCAGTGCAGAAACGTTCTATTTATATTGTTTTAAGATTTTTTAAGTGTGTGTCCTATCCAGTGCCAGTGTCTTTTCCTCTGTTCATGAGTTTCCAGAATTGTAATTCTCTCCCAAAGCTCCACGTTAGTGATTCTATCATACAATTCAGTTCCTTCTATTCTCTACAGGAATTAGTTAAAAAATGTTTGTAGTGAACACCAGATTTTTCAACAAATTATGCGGCTATAACTTTAAATATTTGTCTAATATTCCAGCACCAGATGATGAAGCCAAGGACGACGACTTCCGCTCTCCGCTGTACAAGAATATAGAGATCCGGGGTGTGCCGACACGCATGAAGTGGTGCACAACATGTCAGTTTTACCGTCCGCCTCGCAGTTCTCATTGTAGCTCTTGTGATAACTGCATTGATGTGAGTTGTGAAGGTTGATGTGTGAGTTGTGAAGGTTAATGTTACACATACTTTCTTTCTATGTTGATGCATGACAAGGCCGATGTGGTCAAGGCCCTTTGGGAACAAGCAACGGAATCAGTAGAAAAAGAAGATTATTATAGCCTGGAGACAACAAGGCACCTGGTTGTAACCAGAGGGTCTGGCCGGCTCACTACACTTAGAGGAAAGGGAAGACGGACATATAACCAGATTGTGACCGGTGCCGTCAGTATTGGAACTCTGCGCTGGTTGCTGAAGATGAGGACGGAGCACACATGGGAATGCCCTGAGTGCTGTGATGCCAATTCTGACTCAACTCAGCTCAACTCAACTCTTTCTATATGAGCCTGTTGTGCACCTATTAGAGGTTGCCTATTATCCTGCAGGAGGTCCTTTGCAGAACGTCACTGTTCATCACAGCCTGACGCAAAGAAACTGTCTCTTACCAGCTCGCCAGCCTTGTGCACTTTGCTACCCAAGGTGTCACTTATATTCTGTGCCCATCTTTGTGCTGGTAGGCCCCTGCCTCTCTTTCCTGGTGCCATGCTACATCTGAACAAGTAAAGGACCCCTCTCCACACCTTCAGGTGTATTGGGCATATAGGGTAAAACCTGTGTTTTATAGACTAAGCAGAGTACTCCAACCACCAGTGGGTCATGTGAGAAACTATTAAAAAAGGAAATGTGGAATGAATCAAACAAAATAAAGGAAGGCTTGAAAAATATTTGTTTAAGTAATAGTAATAATAGGAATAAACGAGTAAAAGAAATACAACTGTTAATGATCCGTGAATTGATACAAAGAGCAGACTTAAACAGTCAGCTTTGTTTGGGCGTGTTATTAGGAGCGTTCATTTGAAACTCATTCATGCCCATTGCATGCATTTAACTTGCTTTTGTAATAACACCGTTGAAACAGGTTTCATATGAGCGCTGATTTTGTGAGGATCAAAACCTGAAAGCTTAATGACAACTTAAACTAAAAAAACATAAACAATAGATTTGCACAATTTTTTGCCTGGCATATTTTGCTGTAATAAGTCACTCTCATTTAATGTCAGAAAGAGAGTGCTGAAATGTTACATAAAACCTGTTCTGCTGTATTGCAGCGAATCTTGAAATGTCAGTGAACAAATTAAGAAGAATTTGGAAGCAACAAAGATGTGGTTTCTGAAACGAGTATTACAAATACCTTGATAGGCCAGAGTAACTAACAACGATCATTTGAAAGAAGCTAATGAAAGTTGATCTCTATATTTATATACAACAATAAGAAAAAGATACAAACACTGTTCTTTGGCCACATAATGAGAAGAAAGGCATTGGAAAACATTGTGACAACTAGAAAGATCAGTGGAAAAGGAATAGAGGCAGACCAAGAGAGATGATGCTGGATAAAACGTTGGCATGGAGAGATATCATTAAGAGAGCTGTTCCAGGCAACCAGGGATCGTGATCTGTGGAGATGCATGAGCGCCTATGCCAGTTGGTACGGGACATGATGATGATGATATTTCGCTGTATCTCATCTGGTGCAGACTACAGTAACAATTAAATAAATAAAGCAAATAAGTGAATCGTTTATAACTGAAGTACAAATTCAACCACTCTCCAAAAAAAATCCTGTTTTACTGGTGCAAACGCATTTTTACAGTCGTGTCTTTCATTTTCTTGGCAAAATATATTAGGCATTGAATTGTGTTCAATCAATTTTTGGGGGGGGAGGGGGGTTAGCTGATGGAAGACACCTAGATACATGGGTGGCATGGATGGAAATTAGAGCAAGTTTCTGATTTACATATATCTTATTCTTCTTTGCGTTCGTCAGGCTATAAACTCCGGCGGAAAGTTCTGGCATTTCATCAACCTTTGGACTTGTTACGGAACCTGAGTGTTGCGTGCATATCCACTTTACAGATCTAAATTATTTGTATGCAGACTGTTGGTTCCTTGCATCTCAGGCAGATGCCCTCTGACCTCGAAGGAAACTCCCAATTAGTCCATTCCTACAACATGCTTGTTTAGGAGGCAGTGGGTCACTCTTGTTTTTCCCACAATGGGGCGACCCGGAACTCACATGGGGAACCTACATGTATGAGTCTGGCGTCAGAATAAATTTGTAAAAATGATGACCACACACTCCTGACCTCGTGGCTCATGATGTTGATGTGCTGCATCTGTAAGAAAGAACAGGAAATGACCCTTGCTTTATGCCAGTGTCACATCAGGCATGTCATGCTACACTTATATTTTTATTAACCAAACGGCACTTGGTGGGTGATGTGGCCGCCATTACTTCCCAGAACATTACCTAGTACCATCTGTAAGAAAGAACAGGAAATGACCCTTGCTCTACGCCAGTATCACATCGGGTATGTGATGCTACACTGATATTTTTATTAACCAAACGGCACTTGGTGGGTGATGTGGTCGCCTTTACTTCCCAGGACATTACCTAGTACCCAGTTCAGATTAGTTCGACCTGAAAGTCAAGGTCAGTTTTTAAAGGAAAATCAGCCTCGATAGGGATTTAAACCTAAGATCTTCTGTCAGGCAGGCTGGTGTCTAGCCACATACCAATACTATCTTGTGTCTGTAAGAGATCATGTATATTCATCTTCTGCTTTCATCCGAGTGACATAATTACGTTGTGCCCGTTTACAGCATAGCTGCAGTATTTGCATCTTTTGGCTGACCTATTCTTATTTGTATATGAGTTAGACGTTCTTCTTCTTTGTCCAGTTTTGCCTTTAAACGTCATATCCTGAAGAGGCATCCAGTGCGAGCCTTGGTATGTGTTGCACCTAAGACCATTTTAAAATGTATGATTTTATATATATATATATATATATGTATGATATTTTTGCCAAGTGCAAACGAACACATTTCTTTTATTCACAGACATTTGATCATCACTGCCCGTGGCTGAACAACTGTATAGGTCGCAGAAACTACCGCTACTTTGTTACGTTTTTATTGACTCTCTGTGTTCATATACTGACCATCTTTGCTCAGTGTGTGTTCTACATCATGCAACACAATGACAACTTGCTACGACCTGGGCCCATCATTGCGTATCCTTTGTTCTGCACAGTGCAGTTAAATTGTGGTGCCTTATGCAATATTACATGTGCAACTGCTTATCTGTTGCCGCTGCTGCTTGCGTCGATGGTTTGCAATTCTAGTGGTGGACTGTTTGTGTTACTTTTTACAGCTGCATATTGCATTTACTGCATCTCTGTTCCCTGTGTGGGTTACGGGGACAAATTTAGGGGTGGGGGGGGGGGTGGTTGAGAATAGACCCACTCCTCACCCGTCGGATGTAAACCCCAGGAAAAGAAAGTTCTGGTTATTCGTCCACTTTTGGACTTTGGTCTTGTTCCAGAACTTGAGTTTTGCATGTACATCCATTTTACAGATCTAGCCTGTTTGTATGCAGACTGTTGGTTCCTTGCCTTTCAGGCAGATGCATCCTGTCTTTGAAGAAAATGACTATATAGTGGCCTTTTATGACATGCTTATTAGGTGGAAGGGAGCAGTGTGGCTATCCTTTTTTCCTACCTAAAATGGGACCCACAGCACACATGGGGAGAGAAAGGGGATTATCATTGTCTTGTAACTGTTGCTGTGTTCTTTGTCTTCCACTTTCTATGATTTCTCTAACCCAGCGGTTTTCAAACTGTGTGCCGCAGTACCCAGGGGTGTCGCGAGCATATTCCAAGGGTGCTGCTGCAGTAATCAAGAATTTTTCCAAATCTGCTTGAGATTAGGGAAGACAGCAGTTTAAAACAGACATACCGTGAAGGAAGCAAATAAGAGTTCTGGATCAGGTGTATTCAAAAGACAGTGCTGTTGTCAAGGCTTCGGTGCAGTCTCAGTGTAGGCTTACGTAAAAAACAAATACAAGAGCAAACTTTCTGGGTCAAGTGATTTGAGGGTAAAATGAACTAAACGTCCCATATACATAAAGAACATAATGAAAAATTCACCCAAACATTCACTCATCGCATTAAAGACAAAGATCCCTTTTCACGCCTTCAGGCGTATCGGGTTTATGGGAAGAGTGCCCATATTTTGACAGATCATCGGCACTAGGTGGGTAATGTGGTCAGCCGGTCATCTTTACTTCCCCAGGAAAGCCATCCTGGTACCTATTTAAGGCTGGGTCGACCGGCGACACCCCATACCATGATAAAAATCCACGCAGCCAGCAGTAGGTTTTGATCGCCTTTCGTTGGAATTAAATGTGCACAGTATTTTCTCACTTTTTTTTTTTCTAAGTACTAAAACCGCTTTAAAGTTAGGTGTGCCGCCAAAACTGTGTGCCCGAACAAGGGTGCCGTGCAATTAAAGTTTGAGAACCTCTGCTCTAACCAAACTATTGTGAGACATAACTGAAAGATTTCTGCCTTAACTAGTGAAACAGCATCATCATTAACATCGTCATTGGTCTTGTATTAGTTCCAGTTTTTGGTCTGACTGGATTCCATATATTTCTAGTCTCAAAGGGCACCACAACAAATGAGCAGGTGAGTTTCTATTGGTTTTGTTTAACTATTGTTAGCTTGAAAAGTAAGTCTTCTTCCCATTTGCTGGCCGTAAATTCCGCCAGAAAGTTATAGTTGTTCATCCTCTTCTGGATACATGTTACGGCAGACGTGGCTAGTGCCTTGTGGGAGAGCGTGTACAGTTCGTAGAAGCAGATTGGATTACCACAGTCTGGTTAGATTGATGCAGCAGGGTGTGACGAGGGGTTCTGGCAGATGCTCGAGGCTCAGAGGAAAGGCAAGACGGACATTTAATCAGAATGCTACTGGCACCATTAGTATCGGTACTATGCGCTGGCGGCTGAAGATGGGGAGGGAGCACTTATGGGAATACCCCGAGTGCTGTGATGTTGATTCTTGAATCAACTCAACCCAATCTTTCTGGTTCCAGAACTTGAGTTGTGCATGTGAACATCTGTTTTACAGATGTGGCTTATTTATGTGCAGACTGTTGGTTCCTCACCTCTCAGACAGATGCAGTCTGATTTAGGAGGACACATCTCTAATTAGTCGACTGCTTCAGCATGCTTGTGGGGGGGGGGGGGGGGGGAATTAATGTAACAGAACCCTGGAAGAGATAAAGACTATGTGATGGCTTCCCGAGATGACATTAGTGGATACACATGTCCACTTCAACCAACTTCCATTGTTGAGACAGCAGTGGATACACATGTCCACTTCAACCAACCTCCATTGTTGAGACAGCAGTAGGGTTGGAAAATATTTTATTAAGTTTGGAACAACACGAGAGAAAACCTAACCTACTGTGAAATAAAATGACTAAGAAAGGCTCTGGACAAAACCAGAAGAGACCACATGATGAAATAAAGAGATTAGAACTATTGGAACATTTCCCATCATTTCTGTTTCTGTTTAAACAACAGATCCGCATCATGGCGCTAGGGTGGTAACCTATAAGTGCTCCGTTTTACTTCTAACTCAAGCCTTAGTCCGAAGAAGCTCAGCGCAGTGCATGAAATCATAACGCCGGCAAGGATCCTGAAATACTTTGGGTAGATTTTTTACTCAAAATTTTTTGCCTGGGCAGCGTCGTTAGGCTACTTTTTCCGATTTCCAACTGCCAAGGGATTTTTAACATACGCAACAATACACACGGGCTTGCAATCTTACTACCCAAAGACCAGAGGAAATTACTAGAAGCACACGTGAAAAATCCCAGTCTGAACCCCTGACCTCCAGCAATCGAGGCGGATGCCGTGCCTCAAGACCACCTAGCCACCCCACCCCCATCATTTTTATTGACAAAGACTGAAATCTGTTGGCCACCTAGTGAGATGATGCTGGCAGCGAAAGAGTAAATCATGTAAAAGGAAACATCAAGAGGCAGAGGGTAATCAGGAAGAAGGTGAACTGATGAAGTCACTGAAAACCTCAGACTTCACATCAATACAGCATTGATGTGAAGTCTTGAGGTTTTCAGTATGCATTTGGTTGCTTGGCATACTCGGCTACCTATCATCTGTTAAACTGTGGCACAAAGCAAAAATTTATGAGAGAAAAAAAAAGAAATTCCCCTGTGGGTTCCAGGGCTCAATTGTGGGGAGGGGAGAATAGACTCACTGCCCCCACCCCCCCCACCCCTTTCTCCTGTGTTTCCAATTTTTTCAGACAGTCCTGTCAGCATTCAAATTTTTTAGTCTTACGACAAATCGTTGGACCATCAAAGATGCAAACAGAGGGTAATAGAGAGTGAGAAGCAACAGCAAAATTCTTAACCTGTTTAAACCACCGATGATCACTGGGATCATGAGGGCTAATAGACTGACATGGTTGGGGCAAATTGAGAGAATGTTAGATGACAGAGAAGTAAAAACTTTGTACACAAGGGAGCTGCATGGTCGTGGATCACTAGGCTGACCAAGAAGACAATGGAGAAATAATATCCTGACAGACCTGAAAGCACTTAGTGTCGCTAACTGTATGAAAAGGCCAACTGGAAAGATGAACGGACTGGGTGATCTGCAGCAGTGAACCTAGAGGGCTCAGAATGCCTAAGAAGAAGAAGAAGAATTTAAAAGCTAATAGTGTTGAAAAATGTAAATTTTTACATTTGACTGATGTCTTTTTAGTCGAAATGGAAATATGGTATACCTGTTTTAAACATTAACACATTTTCTCATTTTCCAACTCCAAAAACACATTAGGTGACTGGAAAGTTTAAGGGTGGTCCAAATCCATTTACGAAAGGCTGCGTCAGAAACTGCTGCTACATATTCTACGGACCCAGATGGCCAAAGTATGTACCTGTTTGATCTTTTGCCAATGTTTTCATGTAATGTGTTTGTTAAACAGCATGAAGAATCTGTGGCACTGCACCTGCCAGCGAGTTGAGGTAAACATGAGATCATGCATCTTTGCCGTGACTGCTTATGGATGCGTATCTCAGTCACTATAGAAATAAATTTGAGCTTTTGAATTGAAATGGTACAGAAGAATTCTTAGAATACATTGTGACCAAGAAGAGGGAAAACCCCCCAACATCCTGCATGATCTGATCATTGAGGATAATTGGCTCATAAACAGCATCCTGTCCCGAATGCTCAGAAATGTTGGCCATGTTGAAAATCATGGTGGTCTGGAAAGAGAGCGGTGACCGAGGGTAGTTTTAGGAACTTGATGCAGTTCCTCTTGACTGGCAGCAGGCATTAATAATAGCAGTTTAAAAAAAGAAGTTGAGTTGATTCAAGAACATTCATCACAGCACTCAGGGCATTCCTATAAGCGCTCCATCCCTATCTTCAACAGCCAGTGAAGAGTTGTGATACTAATGGTGCCAGTAGCATTTTGATTAAACGTCAGTCTTATCTTTCCTCTGAGCCTCGATCATCTGCCAGAACCTCTCGTCACTCCCCCTGCATCAGTCTCACCAGACTGTGGTGATCAGTCTGCTCCCCCGAACTGTACATGCTCTTCCACAAGGCACTAACCATGTCTGCCTTATCATGCATCAGTATTCCACCAAGTTGTGCAGAGCTAGCTAGTCTGTCCGCCTGTTCATTTCCCAACACACCGGCATATCCCGATGAAAACAATCCAGACAATACTCCTCACCCGTGTCCTCTGCAGTGAAGCACCAAGCATGCCTGTCCTGACCTTCCTTAGCATGCTTTCTGAGTTTTTGAAAAGGAAAGAGACTGCATCAGAATTGTGCAGACAAAAGGGAAGGGTCATTTTAATTGCCCTGGTGAAAACAGGCAGATAGTTTGAATGTAGTCGATTTTGTGTTTCAGTTAGAAGGATTCATTTATTTGCTTCATTTTAATCTGTTACTGTAGTAGGCATCTGACAAGATACAGGGAAAGATGCTAGGCAATACAGTGTGCAGTCTACTATTTGTGTCTTCTTTGCTCAAATTCACAATCGGGAAACATGGCTGTAAATACAAAATTCCACCACACTATTTTTGGTGCAGATTTATAACAAGGAAACAATTGCTTTGATGTTCTTTGTTTGGCTATTGCAGGCTTGTGGGCTACATTCCGAAGACTCGAACTGTCAAGTTGGACTCCAGCAAAATCACGTACACGGCTGCAGAGAATGATGTCAGCATCATCGTTGCCACCAATTCAAACGGCATCCAGTCTGTTGGTAAAAATCACAATGTAAGTAAAAGTTGCAAAGAAATTAGGCTGATGCTGAGTTGTGAGTTATGATTTAGATTATCTTCACGGCACATCCGGACACACCTCTCAACCTATTCATCAGCGTTGCGTGTAGGCTGATGCTGTAAATAGCAGTGACTTCGGTCAAGCTGATGACAAGAGGTAATAAGTATAACATAAAATGTGACCAGAAAGCTTAGCGGGGGGGAACACGGAAAAGACACCGAATGTCTCAACCATAAGTCTGTATCAATGGTGCACTTCTTCTTCTTCTTCTTCACGTTAAATGTTTTAAACTTTGGCAGAAAGTTCTGGTTATTCCAAAACATGAGTGTTGTGTGCACATCTGTTTTACAGATCTGACTTAATGTATGTAGATTGTTGGTTCCTTGCCTCTCAGACTTTGAGAAAAGAACCCAACTAGTCGACTCTTACGGCATGCTTGTTGGGGCAGGCAGTGGTTCTGTTCTTGTTTTCCCCACAAACAGGTGCCGGAACTCACACGGGGAAATTGTGTACTAATTACCAAAAGAAACAGACGAGAAAACACATGGCAACAGAGCTTGTAAACAACCAAGGTCAACATGAAACCAAGAAATACCTAATCGGAAACAATATGGACATACAGGGCTACATTACGCCTGAAATAAGTAAGAAGGCGTTTGAAAAACCGGGAGAAAATATCAACAAGTTTTTAAGAAGTTTTAAAATAAAATGTCTTTAAATTAATTGATAAAATATAAGTAAGTTGAATACTGATCCCTGACGGACAGAAACATTAAAATAGAATGATATGATTTTCTAAGAAGTATTGGCTGGTTTGATCACCGGAGCGAAATTCTGTAGCAGTAATTGAGATATCGCTTTCACCTTGGTGGTCAGCTTATGGATACTCACAATGAGGCTGTCAAGCCAGTCTCCCTCTTTTTTAATCATTCTGACCGCCGTTTGGTTGAATTTGTGCGCATCTTTTCCATTTCATCTGTTGAGTTTTCTGGTCACATTTTATGTTGAATTAAGTACTTTGTGAAAATTAGGGCGGGCATTTAGTTTTTATGTGTGGGTAATGGTATCAAGCAGAAGACAGAGAAAGATGGCGGGTTTTGTGTGCTAGTGCTTCCATTAGTACACCTCCGCAACACCTAATAGGTCAGGGGTTATGTTATGTTATGGTGTGTGGGGTATGGCACCACCATTGTGTGAGCAGTGCATGTTTCTGCAGTGGTGCTTGAAGTTTCTCTGTTTCTGTCCTTGTGGTATCTCTCTGTCTATATCCCAGTGTGTTCCTTTTCCTCACTATGTCTCGTCTCTTCTCTGTCCCTGTTAAAGTAAACAAGTAAAGGTCCCTTTTCCACGCCTTTAGGCATATAGGGCTAGACCGATATTTTTTATAGACCAATCGGCACAAGATGGGTGATGTGGTCAGCATCACGCCGGCCGCCTTTACTTCTCAGGACTGCATCCGGTACAATGCTGTGTCGACCTGGGAGTCGAGGTCATTTTAGAAATAGGTCCGGCTCCGCTAGGGAGCAAATCCACGACCTTGCGATCTGCAGGTAAGCATTTAGCCACTACGCCACGGTGACTCCCCTCTGTCCCTATGTGTTTATTTAAATGTTGCTCCATGTGCCCTTTTTTTTTTTTTTTTTTTCTCACTCGCTATCTCTCTTTTCTGTGTGCAATCCCCCCTCCCCAAACACACACACACGTCTTCAGCGTCATCCTGTTATGTCTTTATATGTCACTTACAGCTGTCAGTATTTCCTTGTACGTCGCTTACGGCTTGCAGTATGTCCTTATATGTAACTTACGGCTCACAGAATAGACCTCAGTTCTGTTATATCCTGCGCAGTATTCTTGATATCATTTATGAAGTCTAGACCAGCATAGGGGGAAGTGAAAATAGTATCAATGTTATAGCCATCTTTGTCCGACTTTGCCCATAGCCTCATTGTTAGAATACCGATGAGGTCACAGCACGAGTCACTGATACATTTTTTTAATCCCCGGGAAATGTATTATGTTTAATGCTTTGCTCTGTTGGTATTTGTTGATTACTCCTGTAATAGATTCAGAAAAGAAGTTTCATTTGGGTAAAGAAAAGAACAAATGCATCCATACTTCAAGAACTGAATATTGAAGGTTGGCTATTAAATACGATAAAACACAGAAAATTGAAAAAATGTTGTCACCTGAAGCGTCATGAAAGTTTAGAGAGAACAGTAATGGAGGGGTATATGCCTGGAAAGAGAGGAAGAGGAAGGCCAAAGAGAAGATGGGTGCGACATGTGGTGGATGATCTCCAGATGTGTGTATTCGGACGAGGGACATCTTGCTTGTGATTAAGAATTTTTCCGGAAGGTTGTTATACGAGCAAGGTTCTGCAAAGGATTGACTGAAACAGATTTGTACATTTTCATTAGGAATCTGTGTCAAATGATTTTTTTTTAAAGGATTTCCAGGGTTCATCCCTCCCCAACCCCCTTTTTTAAGCGTTTCTGGGGTGGAAGGGTTAATGCCTGTAGTTTCTTTGGGCATTATCAACTTACAAGAAAACATGTGTCACACAGGTAAGGGAAAGCATCAGTCAAAGCAGTGACGATAGTGCTAGTAGCCTCACGTATGGCAGTAGCGCCACATAGCCTTCATTTTTTCCAGATTTTAATACTGGTAAATGTTCACATTTTTTTAATTTTTTAAAATTTATTTTAAAAGAGGTTTCTTTAAGTTTTTTTCTTATTATTATTGCTTTCAATTCAAATTATGTTTTTTTATGTTTTAACATTTGTCTTTTGTTATATCGCGACATAATTTATGTCCTACTACATGTGTGATCTTTTTTTATATTTTGATTATAGTTTTCAGAAATTCTTGCTGAAGGTAAAATTAGTTGATGGTTCACATAAAATGTGTTTTGTTGTGCTGTTGCAAGCTTTTCACTGAAGAAGCCAGTTTCTGTTGAAACCTTGGGATATGTCCGTGCCACGCTGTATATGTCTTTCTGTGCAAAGCACTCAGTGTTTGCCTTCTGGTACTTCATGCTCGGTACACTTTTCTGAACATCTTCCGTTTCATGCCGTTTCATGGTTTTGGCTCGACAACAGATGGGTGCCACATTGCTAGATATTTTCTTGTAGGCCTTAAGGTCTTGAATTCGAGTCTATATCAAAGTGAATTTTTTAACTGACTTAGTTAGTTGCCTAATAGGTAAAGCGAAAGCTGCATTTCAGTAAATGAAAAATATCTTATGCAGTACATCACTCTTATTTAATGTCAGAAAGAGGGTGCTAAAATGTTACATAGAACCTGTTCTTCTGTATGGCAGCGAATCATGGAATGTCGGTGAACAAATTAGGAAGAATTTGGAAGCAATAGAGATGTGTCTGAGACGAATGTTACGAATACCGTGGACAGCCAGAGTAACTAATAACGATTGCTTGAAAAAAGCTAATGAAAGTAGATCTCTATATACAACAATAAGAAAGAGAGAAACACTGTTCTTTGGCCACATAATGAGAAGAGAAACATTGGGGAACATCGTGACAATTGGAAATATCAGTGGAAAGAGGGGTACAGGGTAAAAGTAATGTAAGTCATAGAGAGTTTCATAAAGTTCTTGGCTAGAGTAAAAGTAATGTAAGTCATAGATCCTGTCATAAAGTTTTTGGCTAGAGTAAAAGTAATATAAGTCATAGAGAGTGTCAGAAAGTTCTTGGCTGGAGTAAAAGTAATATAAGTCATAGAGAGTGTCAGAAAGTTCTTGGCTAGGGTAAAAGTAATGTAAGTCATAGATGCTGTCATAAAGTTTTTGGCTAGAGTAAAAGTAATATAAGTCATAGAGAGTGTCAAAAAGTTCTTGGCTAGAGTAATAGTAAAGTAAGTCATAGAGAGTGTCATAAAGTTCTTGGCTAGAGTAAAAGTAAAGTAAGTCATAAAGAGTGTCAGAAAGTTCTTGTATAGAAATAAGCCAGATCTGTAAAACTAAGCTGCATGCGACCAGCAGTCTGTATAGAAATAAGCTAGATCTATAAAACTAAGCTGCATGCGACCAGCAGTCTGTATAGAAATAAGCCAGATCTGTAAAACTAAGCTGCATGCGACCAGCAGTCTGTATAGAAATAAGCCAGATCTGTAAAACTAAGCTGCATGCGACCAGCAGTCTGTATAGAAATAAGCCAGATCTGTAAAACTAAGCTGCATGCGACCAGCAGTCTGTATAGAAATAAGCCAGATCTGTAAAACTAAGCTGCATGCGACCAGCAATCTGTATAGAAATAAGCCAGATCTGTAAAACTAAGCTGCATGCGACCAGCAGTCTGTATAGAAATAAGCCAGATCTGTAAAACTAAGCTGCATGCGACCAGCAGTCTGTTTAGAAATAAGCCAGATCTGTAAAACTAAGGTGCATGCGACCAGCAGTCTGTGTAGAAATAAGCCAGATCTGTAAAACTAAGCTGCATGCAACCAGTAGTCTGTATAGAAATAAGCCAGATCTGTAAAACTAAGCTGCATGCGACCAGCAGTCTGTATAGAAATAAGCCAGATCTGTAAAACTAAGCTGCATACGACCAGCAGTCTGTATAGAAATAAACCAGATCTGTAAAACTAAGGTGCATGCAACCAGCAGTCTGTATAGAAATAAGCCAGATCTGTAAAACTAAGCTGCATGCGACCAGCAGTCTGTTTAGAAATAAGCCAGATCTGTAAAACTAAGGTGCATGCGACCAGCAGTCTGTGTAGAAATAAGCCAGATCTGTAAAACTAAGGTGCATGCGACCAGCAATCTGTATAGAAATAAGCCAGATCTGTAAAACTAAGCTGCATGCGACCAGCAGTCTGTGTAGAAATAAGCCAGATCTGTAAAACTAAGGTGCATGCGACCAGCAGTCTGTGTAGAAATAAGCCAGATCTGTAAAACTAAGGTGCATGCTAAAAAAAAAAAAAGTTATGGAACAAGATCAAAGTCTAGAAGAGACAGATAGCCAGACTGTACAGCCGGT